AATTTATTTTTATATTTATTTTTATTTCTTTTTGCATTTTCTTCGCGTTTTTTTCTCTCATTTTTACTGTTTTTGAGTTCTGCGCTTCTGCGTTGCGCTCGAAATGCTGATGATGATTACTGGTGTTATGCTCTTTAATTAAATTAGTCATTAGTTTAATGGCTTTACATGGATGTACATAAAGGCACGAAAGAGTCTGCATCTGCAAGCAAAACACTGAAAGGAGGAGAGTGTGTCAAATGCCAAATCAGGTGTATATTTTCAGAGAGCAATGAAAAGCAATATGAATGCGTGAGAAAGACAGAGCGCCAGATGCTGCTGCGTTCTCGATTGTATTTTGTCTCGAGAGCGTTAATGCATACAACGCGATTAAGCGATAGGACATACATATGTACATATTGTATGTAAGTATGTATATATTTATTGAGTCGCAATTTATGGTTCTCCCTCTCTGTCTCTCGCGATTGTGTGAGCTTTGCTTCCCTTCAATTACTTCTATCGCTATCTCGCACTCCCGCTTCAGACGCGATCCACTCTCTTTGTGTGAGCTTTGCTCTCTCGGAAGCATATGAAATAATTAACGGGACCTTACTTACTTTGCTGCGTAGATTATCTGTTTTTGTTTTTGTTTTCATTTAAGCAAATGCCATACATTTTGATGCTTGACTCGACTGCTATGAATACTCTTTATTTGATTTCTTCGACAGTTAGCGAATTGGTCTGCCTGTTACTGTTTCTATTTAATCGCCTCCTGTTCCACGTTTATGCAAATACCTTTACCAAGAGATAAACTTTAAATCAATACGATACCTACCATAAGCACCCTTCAAGTACAAGGTATTACTGCTGTCCAAAAGGTTTAGAGAACCAACTCGAAATGCGCTTTAATTCAAGGAAAAACAAAAAACAAGATCAAAACAACAAAAAGTTGAGCAACTCTTTCAAATAATCCGCCGTCTCCGACTGTCTTTCCGACTGTCTGACTGCATTGCTGCCAAAGTGCTGGGAGCTGCAGCAGTACTGCTTTAGGAGCAGCGGAGTGCCGCGTCCCGGCCAAGAGACTTGGCCAAGAGATGCCTAGGTATGTCATGGTCATGCTTCGAGGCTCTTGACAATAGTTGGCTCTGTTTTTTTCCCGAGACTTGGTTGGGTCTTATTTTGTTGCTGTTTTTGGCGCTGTCTTTGCCGCTCCTCTCTCTCTCGCGCGCAGACAACAACACGAATTGAAAATTGTAAAATGTCGCCGACTTGCGGGTGACTGAAGGGGGCTCTGAAGGGGGCAACGGGAGTGCAATGTCGATACGGATTCGGTGGGGCAAACAAGTTTACGGCCCGCGCCAGACACAGACAACGGCAACAACTAAAAGTACAACAAAAAATACTGAAGGCTCGCTGGAAGGAGTCGCATCTTTTAATACCCTTTAAGATGCAATGGATAATAATATTTCTGGTGCAACTTTCTTGAAAATTTAGCAAATACTTTCTTAAACATGGCTTTATAGCCACATCTATTGATTCTGATCAAGACAAAATATATGCCTTATTGCTTCAGAGATGCTATTAGCCAAACAGCAGCGGAAATTAAACATACCCTCTTTTGAAGGGTACAACAAGATGACGCCAAGAAATGCAGATGAAGCTGACAGCATCGTCGACGACGACGACGACGATGTCGGTGTTCATTCGCCGTAAGTTGCATATGGGTCGCTGCTCCATTTCCACATGGACGCCAGTGCCAGTGCCACTGCCGCAGCCACATCCTCATCAATTGCCGAACATGCAGCAGCAGCAGTGGCAGTGGCAGCAGCGGCAGCAGCAGCAGGACGACTCCGACGATCTTTGGCTGCATAATTGCCAGTCTAAATCAATGGGGCGCAAGTAGTTGCCGCTGTGTTGCATGTTGTTTTTGTTGTTGCTGATGCAGTTGCTGTTGCACCCATACATGACTCTGTCGGACTTCATTGTCAACGCCGTTGCCGTCTCCATCGTCATCGGCCATCGGCATCGCCATCTCCATGTCCATGTCCGTCTCGGTCGTCGTCAATATTTGCCATGATCTTATCGTCCAGCAGAGTCATGTCGCTGCCATGGCTGCGGCTGTGGCTGTGGCTTCTCCCCTCTTTTGCAGCAGCAGCAGCAAACAGACGATGCAACAGCAGCGGCAACCGTCACTTGGGTGCAATTATTTTTGAGAGATACCCTAACATCTAAAGGGTATTGCACAAAAAGGAGATCTGTGAATCATTATCAAGGATTAGGAATTTCTCCAGAACTTTAATTCTTTATTGATGAATCATTAATGATAGTCGGTTTTTAGAACTTTTGTATGATTTCTTCAGGGGAAAAGGGTATTCACTTTTCGCTTTTGATCCGGCATTGATCTCTCATTTTTCTTTCAATCTGCCACCGACGCTGCACCGCCCCTCCCCTTGGAGACTGCGCACATCATCTTTGCCGCTGAATTATGGCAAAAGACCTTGGACTTAAGCACTAGCCTCGTCGATATGTAGCCCCCACAGCCGAGCCCGCTGTACCGAGCGTCTTGCACCCGCACTTGTGTGATCCCAGAGGCAGGCCCCGCCACTACTCTAGATCCTCCACTCGAGCCCCCGATTCCTCCTCGTGCTCTTCTGTTGCAGCCCCCTCCTCCGCCGCGTCCAATAGTGCAATTTGTCATTGCACCGTCAGCGACGACGCGTGCGCCAGCATGGAGAGACTCGAGACTCGCGAAGCTGGAGGCAGCTCCTCCTCCTGTTCCTCTGGTGCACTGCTGCACTGGCTCGTCATCTATCGCTGGCTGCCATCTGCTTACAGTTAAAGCGACTCTTGGAAGCGGACTCTCATAGTTGCAGCAGGCAGCAGGCAGCAGCATGCAGCTAACTGGCAACTGGCAACTGGCGACGACTCGGGGCCATCTCCTGCTGCGTTTTGTGGTGGACTCCGAGTCGCGAGGCTGGCGCTCCTTCGACGACTTCTTTATGGCTCTTGATTTTTATGATTTTGCTGTTTAATGGTTCATTTGTGTGCCTCGGCCATGTAGAGGAATACGAGGCACCACTCCACTCCGCTCCGCTCCACTCCAATCCACTCCACCAAGCGGTGGTGCATGTGTCTGGCTTCCAGTTTTCTTATCGCAGCGTCTATATCTACTTGGTTTTTGTTTTGTTTTTTTTTTTTTTTATTTTGTTTGCTAGTTTAAGTTTTAGTAGTAGTATTTTTTTATATGTATATTTTGCTTGTTTTTGCTATTGTCGCGTCGCGTCGCCAGTTGGCTTGCGGCTTGTCTGCGCTGCTTAATCTCTCTCTCTATCCTCGGAGCATTACTCTTTTTTCTCTCTCGACCGTTTTTTTTTTTGGGTCTTTTCCTGCTGTTAGCCAGCAGCGTTTTGGGGCCAACTTGTTTACCCAATGCGCGCGCTGACCAAGTCCGGTGTTATGGCCCGAAGGAATTTCTGCCGTTTTAGAGAAGCATTAAACCAAAAAAAAAGCAAAAAAACAAAAGAAAGAGTGCTTTGTGTGTTTTGTATGTTTTGTGGTTCTTGTCGATGGTTAAATTTATGTTGCATACTTTGTGGCGAACAAGCGGAAACGAGCCAACAAAAATCTTCACTTCCCGCTCTCTGTGGGGCTCCCTTGGTGGCACCTCCCAGAGCGTTTATACCATTAAATGATTACCACAGACAAGAAGTTGCTTATGGAATGCAACAATATTGTAGATTAGATCACACTCGCGTTACACGCGACATACGGCAGTGCCCCTCAGTCCATACTGCTTCAGCTTTGTGTCGCTTGTCCAAGAACATGTTCTACATGTATGTAGATTTGCCCAAAGAGGAACTATGTATTACTAGAGAGAGAAACATCCATAGTTTTCGTGTATTCTTCATATTTTTTCACTCAAAAATAAAGTGACTTGGGTCAAATCTTTGCCAAAGGAAGGATTTTTTAGATCTTGAGATTGTCTAAGAATGCAGGTTGGCAAAGGATCATCCATGTAAACATGTGACTACATTGAATCTATAACTTCTATAAAACCCATCTGGCAACTACATAATTCTATCCATCTCCGCCGCCAAAAGACCGACCGACCGTTCACTGTAAAATTCCACTGTGGTATTGCTGAAGAACCCATGATTATTGTAATGAGAGGCAACTTTGAGCTGCTGTTGACACGATTTGGGGCTAAGCTCGGCTCCCCATCATCATCATTCAGCACTGTCCCTCCTTCTGGTCGGAGACGAGGAGTGGGGAGTCGACGCATTCCTCCGACTGCTGTCGGGTGCAAATCCCGCAGACATGTTTGCGATCATCGCCCGTCGTTTGCTTTGGCCATTTGCTTAACTGCCGCAGTGACACCTTCTGGTAGCCACAAGTCCATGGCCATGTCCATGTCCATGGTCAAAAAGAGGATGGTGGAGGGGGTATTGGGGGTAAGGCGATGACGCGGGCAATGGGGTAATGGATAATGGCGCCGCCTCCATTCAAAAATCACTTTATGGCTGCGCGTCTGAGGTTCGTTCGGGTTTCCTTGTCCATAATTGGACGCGGTGCCAATCATTTTAACAGGTACACAAACACGCAAGGAATAACCGGCTTTCCCTCCTCCATGGAACTTCATGGAACTCCATGATGATAATGCAAAATGAGCAGAGGCACAAGGAGACGTACCGCCAGCCAGTCGAAGTCCACGTCCAAGTTCCAGTCTCAATGACAATTGGCGCCATAGCCCCGGGGTGCGTCGTCGTCGTTCCTCTCTTCCCTGTTGTTGGGGGAGGGGGGCAAAGTCTGGCGAGGATCGGTGCGGTTCGTTTGCTTATAATTAGCCATCGCGGACGGTCTGGAGGTCTGGGGTTTGGGGTTTGGGGTCTGGGGCCCGCAATTCAAATTAATGATGGCTACTGGTTTTCAGAGCCAGCTTCTTTCTATTTTTATGGCCGATCAATTTTGTAACATCACTAACGCTTCCCTCTTCCCTCTTCTCCTTCTCCGTTTCTTTGCAGGCGGAAATGCTCATGGATGATGCGTCGCTGTTGGGGCCTCTTGGCTTGGGGGCGCCACATGGCTTGGTGGGTGCACCGGTGGTTGTGCCTCTAGTGGCCGCCCATCATCAGGTGTCCCTCAAAGGGCATCCACAGTTGGACATTCCAGGAAAGAAGCTACTGAAGGTTGCTGGAGCGCCCGCCTTGGATGCGTACCATTACCAGATCATGTACGCCCACTGCGTGCAACAGCAGCAGCAGCGGGAGCGAGAGCAACAGCACCACCAGCAACAGCAGCAGCAGCAGCAGCATCCACACCAGAGGGGAGTATTGGTGGGGCAGCCGCAGCCACCGCCACCGCACCCACATCCGCATCAGCCGCCACATCCCCACCAGCCGATGAACTCGACGTCGGCATTTCGGCCATGGGGACCCACCACCCAGAAGGCCTTCCTGCACGCCTACAATGCGACCCTCTCCTCCCTGCCGTACACCTGCCAGGAGCCGCCGGAGCTGCAGAATCCCGAGCGCGTTGTCCGGAGCACGGACAAGCGGTACGCGGAGCGAACATACCAGCCGAATGTGGCGTTGGCGCCGCGCAAAACAATACTCTCCAAGGAGCGGGACAAGGACAGAGACAGGGAGAGGGAGAGGGAGCGCGAGAGATTGGATCGTGAAATGGAGCGCCAGAGGGTGCGGGAGAAGGAGCTGCATCTGCACATCAAGCAGGAGAGAGACGACAACACACCCACGCCCACGCCCACGACACCGCCAGCAGGAGAAACTGTGGATGTGGTGGAGCCACCACTTGCCTCCTCCAGTGGCAGCAACTCCCCCAAGCCCCCGCCAGCACTAGCAGCAGCACCCGCACCACATCCAACCCCAGCCACCAGACATGTGCCCTTGCCACGCAGTCCGGAGGAGTTTTCCGCCGGCAGCAATGAGATTACCTCCTCCACATCGCCCGTGCCACTGAAGCAGCCACAGCAGCAGCAGCAGCATCCACACCCACATCCCCAGCAGCAACAGAATCCGCACCAACAGCAGCAGCAGCATCAGCAGCAGCAGCACATCATTGCCACCGTCAATCAGCATGCGAAACTGTTGCCCAGCTCTAGTTCCATTTCCATATTGAATGGAACTTCATCCACCAACGGAAGCAACGGAAGCCACAACGAACCAAGTCGAATCAGGATCAACAAGAACCTGATGAGCCAGCCAGCGGACCCGCCACCACCTCTACCACATCACAATCTCCATCACAGCCACCACTATCCTGCCCTGGGACCACACCACATGGCTGGGGCGCAGTCCTACTACAAGGCTGGCGCTGTAATCGGTATGACTATTTATTACTTATTTCGATTCCTACTACACTAGAATTGAGTCATTGAGTTATTCAGACAGGCTCCGGCTTTCACTTTCGCCAAATCTTTTCGATTTACTTTTCGTGCAAGCAGCCTATACTTCGGATGTTAAACTTTACAGAGGCTCAGCACTAAATTGTGCGCTTAACAGCACTAAATTTTGCGTTTAACAGCACATAACAAAATGAAACATATCGATGACGAACATTTTCGAAAGCGGGAACACCTAAAAACGAAAACGGAACGTTTTGTCTGCAAACGCAAAAGAATAAGAAAACCGGAGCCTGCCTGATTGAGTTTTTAGGCAAAACTCAGAAGCATAGGGGTTTAGTGGTAGCAAAAAGAAGTGCTATGGTGCCGAATCCTGTTCGGCCTAGTAACAACAAAAACTAGCAGATCTCAGATAAAATGTTTGAGCGTAAAAGGTTTTTTTTGCTGGAAACAGCTTCTAAGCTCATTAATTCAATAATAACTCGATAGGTAACTCATGTCAGGGCAAATAGCATATTACTCTGAAGATTACTAATCTGCTCCTTTGTTTCCAACGACTAAATATCAAATATATCCAATATTATTATAGGTGGCTCCTCCCCCACACAGTCTTCCAGTGCGGGCCTGAACCTGAGTACCCACTCCTCGAATGTGGTAAGCTCTCCGCACCAGCAGGCCACCAAGCAGCAGCAACAGCAGCAGGCGTTGCACCATTCGATACAGCAGCAGCAACAGGCAGGAGGAGTCCATCTGCAGAATGGGAAGCCCCATTTGGGCAGCGAATTCGAGCTCTCGACGGACACGGACGATGACAGTCTCAATGGCGAGCCTGATAGCAGTGCCATGCTGCCGCCCTGGGAGCAGGCCGTCGAGTACCTGCGAGAGACACGTCCCAGGGATCGGGAGAGGGTGCTGCAGTTGCTCCAGAAGCTTCTGCACGAAAACCAACAGCTCCGCTACAATAATATGCAGCTGAGCGATCTGTTGCACAAGCAGGATGCCCACATAGCCGATCTGACGGAGCAGTTGCAGCGGCATCGCAGTCAGCTCGAGGATATGGACTGCAAGGTGGAGCTGAGGCGAGTGGTGCCATTCAAGCAGCAGACCCAGCTGCTGGACGAGCAGGTGGACGAAGGCAGAGGCGATGGCCATGGCGATGGCGAAGGCGAAGGCGAGGACGACGAGGATCTAGAGGAGGATCGGGCCAACAACAATAACCAACAAGAACAGCAGCAGCAGCTGATGAAACCGCAAGCCAATGGCCTCCGAAGGAGTCCCACGCCCCTGAATTGCTGCGGAGCAGAGCCCGAAGAGGAGGCGGAGGCCGATTCGGAGGAACCTGCCACCAAAAGAGCAAAAATGCAACCAGAAGAAGTGCCAGCCCAGTTGAATGGAGAGACCAACAAGATGAATGGCAGTGCCAAGAGTCCTGCTCCCAGTCAATCCGCTTCCAGCGACGACGAGGATATGGAGGACGAGGATGACGATGAAGATCCCGAGGAGGATTTGCAGGCGCCGCATAGCAGTGGCACGCCGCCCACAGCCGCCACCACGCCACAAACGCAGGAGAGGCATATAAACTGCGGCATAGAGTCTCCGCGCACCACAGAATGCTTAGGTGAGCTCTAGATTATGACGTTAAGGCTAGTTTGCTTTCAGATAGGTCCAATCTGGGATCGCAGATTTTAGCTTATATCTCCACACATCCTCCATCCTTTAATCCAGGGTTTCGGCAACATCCAATCTTCTGTTTTTTTGTTTTTCACAGCCACCACGCCCATTAGCCCTGATTCAGCGGCAACTGCGGGACAGTTGTTCGATAGCAGCAACAGCAGCGACGAGTCCTCGATGAAGAAGGCCCAAATGTCGGCCTGCCATGCCTTGGCCAAGATGAATAACAACCACAAGGATGAGACCGTAGAGGATCGGCCACAGGATGATGAGGACTCCTCGGACGATGAAATGCCATTGCAACAGCGCCAGCAGCAGCAGCAAAGACAACGCAAGCGATGCTTCAGCAAAGGAACGGGATCTGGATCGACCTCTGCCTCAGAGGAAGATGAGTCAGCGCCTCAAACCACCACCATCCTCCTCCCAGCGACAGCACCTGCCTCAGCACCTGCCCCAGTTCATCCACATCCACCGCCGATGGCCACCAAGGCGAGCAAGAAGCAGACGCCTCCATCCCTGGGAGCACTACCCATTATCACAGCTCTTGTTGGAAGCACCGCTGCCACCACAAAGAACTGCGAGATACAAATCAAAAAGGAAATAGCCTAGGGAACCCCATCCTTCCATCCTCAGAGCCCCTCCACTCCATCAAAGGATATAGCGCATAGCTTCCTCTCAAAGGATCACACACACACACAGTAAAATCTATCTTTAAGATTCCCCGCCCTTTTTTTGAGGCATAAGTTCTGCTATGGGAAAAACGAGTCCACAACCAAATTCAAGCTCAAAGCCAAGACGCACATTGCCAACCCACTTGGTGGCATCTACAGATGACATTTTGGAAAGCAGGGAAAACATTTTGGAAACTCCAACTCACTTTTCATTTGTTTCCTTTAAGTTTTGTTTAGACTATAGAGTTTTTAGCGTACGATCTTGGGATCTGTGTGGAGTGGACTCTATAGTATAAAGAGGACCTTAAGCTGCTGTTGAACGATACGCTTTTTTGAAAAATATCTGGATAGAAATACGCTGATTCACTGTACAAATGTTCCATAAATTTACACAAACGAAGGACATTCGCCACCCCCTTCAAGTGAATTATAGAATAGAGATGACAAATATGAAGTATTATGATAAAGAAGTATCAATCAGTCACTGTAAGAATTGGTAAGAATATTGTATTGCTTTGACATATGCATGACAAAATGTAACCACAGGGAATTGCTTCAGTAGGAAGCGTATCGTCTAACAGCAGTTCCAACAATTAAAACACTTTTTCGATTCTAAATGTTCAATAATTTTGTACGCTTTTACATAGCTTGATTTGATCTCAAAAAAAAAAAAAAAAAAAACAAAAAATTCATTAGGCTTCCCTCTAAAGGTATTTCGGTATTCTCTTGACTTTGCTTGCAGAAATTATGATTGAAACCAAAGCTTTAAAAACAAAAATAATTTTGTGTATATTGTTCAACAAAACGTAAAAAAAAAGTGGAGAAAAAACAAAAACCAACAAGAAATTGAGACCAATTTATGCGTGTGTTTTTTACCATATATACTTTTACTTTTTAAACTTAATTTAGGTTTTAATTTGTATAATTTCTTAAGCTCTGCAAGACATTTAAAACGAGAAAAAGAACACAAAAAGATATGATATTCAAAGCGAGGCTTCGAAGACAAAATTTAGGAAAAACAAAAACTTTTCAGACAACAAAACAAACAAAAAACAGACAGACAGAAGGCAGCTGGTTCTTATAAGTGGAATGATATACCATACTCTGGACACCATTTTTAATTAAATTTAGTTTAATCCTAACTTTAAGTTTAACAGACAGCGACAAAGAGATAGAGAGATATGGAGAGAAGAATTACACAAAAAATGAACCCACCACAAAAGAAAAAAAGTAAAAGAAATGCTAAATAATTCTTATATAATTCTTAACAAAACAAATACAAAAAAAAATCATATTTTATAAATACGAAACTATGAAGTTATGCCGCGTTAAACTTTATACCATACAAAATATGAATAATTATCTACTTATGATATCTGATAATGATAGATCGGATCAGATGAGATGAGAGACGAGAAGTGCAGGATTATTCGATTCAATGGAATATACAAAACCACATACGCATACACATAAAGATTAATATTTATTGTAGCTTCTAGTTATAAATCGAAAAGTACGAGTACGAGTAGATCTTTAAACTACATATATAGTCTCTTGTTCTGTTCATCTCCGATTGTAAGCTGTAGCTTTGCTCTGTAGGCATTTAGTTTCCTAGATCGTAATACCATTTGCTAACTAGATTCTAAGGCCCTTTCTCCACTTCTATTTCTATTCGACTCTTTTTTTTTTGTATATATGATTTTCTTTCGATGAATGGATGATATGATGATGGATTTTAGTTGCCAACACAAACACTTTGTGAGAAACACATACTATAGATATGATGTACTATAGAGATATTCTTCTGGATGATGATAACCAACTGGAAAACAAACGAAACAAAACCCCAAAACCCGAACCCAAGCCAAGAGCCAAGCGAAAAAAGCGCAGAGATTTCAAAAATCTATAAACTTTTGTTATAAAAAACTAAAAAAAAAACATATTTCATAAATTATTTATGCCTGTGTGTGTTTGAACTTTCTAAAAGAAAACATTTCGTTCTATTTCTAAATTTAAAAAACATAAAACATTACAAAGAAAGCAACAACAAATATTTAACAAAACAAATGCAAACCAAAATTTGTATAGAATTTAAGCTAAAAAATTGTGTAAAATTGTATAAATTTAAACAAGAACAAAAAACGAAACATTTAACGCATAAAACTTACATTTATAAATAACGATTTAAATTGTGAGGAATTAAGCAACAAAAACGAAAAACAAAAACTGTTATGCATACTTAAAAAATAAAGAAAAAAGTTATATAAATTATATGCTACAAAACAAAAACAAAAAAAAACATCAAATTACAATTGCTATGCAAAAAATAAAATTAAAATAAAAATCGACAAAAAAATATATACAAATTATTGTAAATTATTTCTTTTCCAATTTTGTGTTTCATTTTTGCCCCAAGTAAAAAAACATTACAGAACCAGAACCAGAAACGATAATAAACAGAAACAAATTTCATAAGTTATAGAGCAGAATAGAATGGAATGGAGGATAAAATGGTTAATCAAAAGCGTCAAAACGGTTTTCAGCAAATTTCGTATTTATGGCCAAATTTTTACAAAACGATGAAAATAGTTGAGAACAAAACAAAAGATGAAATGAAATGAAGCGATGAGCAAAACCCAACAAACAGGATTTTTTGTATCATTTTTGCTAACAACCCAAAGACAAAACAAAACAAAACAAAACAAACAATCATTTTTATAATTAAATTAAATGAGTAAAATATATTGACAAATTTTACATAACCCGAGTGTTTATATACGACGACACATTATACATATATGTATTTAAAACAAAAAAACATAAAAGATAGCGCGATGCCCAACAAAAATAAAATCTTTGCCCTGCTTTATGATGAAATGACTTGATATTGTTAAAACAAAAAAGATAAAACACAAAATAATGGCATAAGTTTATATTAAAAAATGCAGCAGCAACAAATCCGCGTCTTGTCAAACACACAACATATAGTGGATATACAATGATTATTATATGTATGTCCCAAAGACGAAGATTCTGAAGAATGCAGAAATGCAGAAATAAAATGTACAAATTGTGGAGCAAATAAACGATAGAAAATGTAGTGAGAATTTTGGAGGGAAGGAAGAACAGAAGCCGCAACACGAAACAAAAAATTGCACACCACAAAAAGGCAAAATCAAGTTTAATCAAATTAAACAGTTTAAAAATAACGAAACAACATTTGACTTCAACGTTTCATATTAAGTAGTGCAGAAACAAATAAACAAAAAACACACACACACATGAACACTTTAACACACAGAAAACAAACAGATTATTACATATGTAAAGAAAACAAAAGAACATCAAATAAAAAAAGATAAATTATGCAAAATATTACTATTCCTTTGCGAATTTTATTTTCTGGCAGATGGGCAGTGCAGAAAACAATCATGGAATCCTACAAATGGTTGAAAGTCGTAGATTAGTATCGACATAGAATACATTAATTTTTCTTACAATACTATCGAAGAGTATATAGCAATGCCACTTTATGCACAAAACATGTCGAAAACGAACTATCTGGATTAGATATATCTCGGCTTCACGGCTGCCGATCGGGGCGTGGCATGTCATTTCGTAACCGGGAGAGTCCTGCCAACCGATTGGCACCAGAAAAAAGGACATCCAAGCCATCACGATTTTCGCCAAAAATCATGATGTAACCATCATTAAATTTGCCAAAAATCGGCCTCAGTTTCGTAGTCGAGATTTTGTTGCCGTTCGACAGGCTGGATCCCCACGATCCTGGGAGAGTTGGTCCTTCGCCGATCTGGCTCTAGTTAGCTGAGATATAGCCTTTCGAATATTTGGATTTTCACACCTGTCAAATACTGGTTTTTTTCTGCACGCTATATCTCGGTTTCACGGCGTCCGATCGAGGCGTGGCATGTCATTTCGTGACCGGGAGAGTCCTGCCAACCGATTGGCACCAGAAAAAAGGACATCCAAGCCATCACGATTTTCGCCAAAAATCATGATGTAACCATCATTAAATTTGCCAAAAATCGGCCTCAGTTTCGTAGTCGAGATTTTGATGCCGTTCGACAGGCTGGATCCCCACGATCCTGGGAGAGTTGGTCCTTCGCCGATCTGGCCCTATTTAGCTGAGATATAGCCTTTCGAATATTTGGATTTTCACACCTGTCAAATACTGGTTTTTTTTTCTTTAAGCTATATCTCGGTTTCACGGCGTCCGATCGAGGCGTGGCATGTCATTTCGTGACCGGGAGAGTCCTGCCAACCGATTGGCACCAGAAAAAAGGACATCCAAGCCATCACGATTTTCGCCAAAAATCATGATGTAACCATCATTAAATTTGCCAAAAATCGGCCTCAGTTTCGTAGTCGAGATTTTGATGCCGTTCGACAGGCTGGATCCCCACGATCCTGGGAGAGTTGGTCCTTCGCCGATCTGGCCCTATTTAGCTGAGATATAGCCTTTCGAATATTTGGATTTTCACACCTGTCAAATACTGGTTTTTTTTTCTTTAAGCTATATCTCGGTTTCACGGCGTCCGATCGAGGCGTGGCATGTCATTTCGTGACCGGGAGAGTCCTGCCAACCGATTGGCACCAGAAAAAAGGACATCCAAGCCATCACGATTTTCGCCAAAAATCATGATGTAACCATCATTAAATTTGCCAAAAATCGGCCTCAGTTTCGTAGTCGAGATTTTGATGCCGTTCGACAGGCTGGATCCCCACGATCCTGGGAGAGTTGGTCCTTCGCCGATCTGGCTCTAGTTAGCTGAGATATAGCCTTACGAATATTTGGATTTTCACACCAGTCAAATACTGGTTTTTTTCTGCACGCTATATCTCAGTTTCACGGCGGCCGATCGTGGCGTGGCATGTCATTTCGTGACCGGGAGAGTCCTGCCAACCGATTGGCACCAGAAAAAAGGACATCCAAGCCATCACGATTTTCGCCAAAAATCATGATGTAACCATCATTAAATTTGCCAAAAATCGGCCTCATTTTCGTAGTCGAGATTTTGATGCCGTTCGACAGGCTGGATCCCCACGATCTTGGGAGAGTTGGTCCTTCGCCGATCTGGCCCTATTTAGCTGAGATATAGCCTTACGAATATTTGGATTTTCTCACCAGTCAAATACTGGTTTTTTTTCTTTAAGCTATATCTCGGTTTCACGGCGTCCGATCGAGGCGTGGCATGTCATTTCGTGACCGGGAGAGTCCTGCCAACCGATTGGCACCAGAAAAAAGGACATCCAAGCCATCACGATTTTCGCCAAAAATCATGATGTAACCATCATTAAATTTGCCAAAAATCGGCCTCAGTTTCGTAGTCGAGATTTTGATGCCGTTCGACAGGCTGGATCCCCACGATCCTGGGAGAGTTGGTCCTTCGCCGATCTGGCTCTAGTTAGCTGAGATATAGCCTTACGAATATTTGGATTTTCACACCAGTCAAATACTGGTTTTTTTCTGCACGCTATATCTCAGTTTCACGGCGGCCGATCGTGGCGTGGCATGTCATTTCGTGACCGGGAGAGTCCTGCCAACCGATTGGCACCAGAAAAAAGGACATCCAAGCCATCACGATTTTCGCCAAAAATCATGATGGTTACATCATTAAATTTGCCAAAAATCGGCCTCATTTTCGTAGTCGAGATTTTGATGCCGTTCGACAGGCTGGATCCCCACGATCCTGGGAGAGTTGGTCCTTCGCCGATCTGGCCCTATTTAGCTGAGATATAGCCTTTCGAATATTTGGATTTTCACACCAGTCAAATACTGGTTTTTTTTTCTTTAAGCTATATCTCGGTTTCACGGGGGCCGATCGTGGCGTGGCATGTCATTTCGTGACCGGGAGAGTCCTGCCAACCGATTGGCACCAGAAAAAAGGACATCCAAGCCATCACGATTTTCGCCAAAAATCATGATGTAACCATCATTAAATTTGCCAAAAATCGGCCTCATTTTCATAGTCGAGATTTTGATGCCGTTCGACAGGCTGGATCCCCACGATCCTGGGAGAGTTGGTCCTTCGCCGATCTGGCTCTAGTTAGCTGAGATATAGCCTTACGAATATTTGGATTTTCACACCAGTCAAATACTGGTTTTTTTCTGCACGCTATATCTCAGTTTCACGGCGGCCGATCGTGGCGTGGCATGTCATTTCGTGACCGGGAGAGTCCTGCCAACCGATTGGCACCAGAAAAAAGGACATCCAAGCCATCACGATTTTCGCCAAAAATCATGATGTAACCATCATTAAATTTGCCAAAAATCGGCCTCAGTTTCGTAGTCGAGATTTTGATGCCGTTCGACAGGCTGGATCCCCACGATCCTGGGAGAGTTGGTCCTTCGCCGATCTGGCTCTAGTTAGCTGAGATATAGCCTTACGAATATTTGGATTTTCACACCAGTCAAATACTGGTTTTTTTCTGCACGCTATATCTCAGTTTCACGGCGGCCGATCGTGGCGTGGCATGTCATTTCGTGACCGGGAGAGTCCTGCCAACCGATTGGCACCAGAAAAAAGGACATCCAAGCCATCACGATTTTCGCCAAAAATCATGATGGTTACATCATTAAATTTGCCAAAAATCGGCCTCATTTTCGTAGTCGAGATTTTGATGCCGTTCGACAGGCTGGATCCCCACGATCCTGGGAGAGTTGGTCCTTCGCCGATCTGGCCCTATTTAGCTGAGATATAGCCTTGCGAATATTTAGATTTTCACATCATTAGAAAACTGGTTCTTTCTGCACGCTATATCTCGGTTCCTGTAGTTGGAAAAATATCCTTAATCCTTTGGTAAGGACTTAAAAAACCCCAGCCATTCATATTTCCCCGATTCTTTATAAGACTGATTTTTAAATAGGTTTATTCATCAAAACTTAGCTTAGTATAAATAAATTAACAATTGGAAAACATGTGTATCCACTATCTTAATGAATGTACGCATATATCCTTAAACCTAACAACAGTGAGATTTATATAGACTCTAGTAGCCCGCGTTGATCCTTCCTTGGTTACCATAGTCAAAGTCCTTGTTGTCGATGGCCAAGTCGAAGGATGACAATGGCTTGTTAGGTTCGCATACGTTTCTGTCTGGCTTGGATAGGACTATGTCTGGCGGGGGGGACCGATAAGACTCGGTTTGTGGCAAAGAGTACGGTACATCCTCTGTGAAGGAAGATATATTTTTAAATATATACACAATTATATACTAATTCACTTATGTACGTGTCTCAAAGCTGAAGCCCAGCTTTTGATTCGGCGGGGTATGAATGGTCGGTGGCTGAAATTATTTCCCGTGGACGTGAACCAACAGCTCCGCCGTTGATCACTGGTCCCTACTGCAGCGGACGGAGCCCCACATTGTCGATTCAGCGACACAGCTGAGGCATCAGTGGCTGCCACAGTCTATCCAGAGTTATTCCTGTCCACCGCATGGGGCGACCTGCTAAAATGAAAGAAAGAGTTAAGTAAAGTAAAGGAATAATAGACGGCCGTCGTAAAAAGTGGTAAATAGTTTATGTACAGCTACATCTGGCGCGATGCACCCGATCGTGGATGCGGTATCGATCCGGCAACACAACACTTAAAGTTGGAAAATCACCAGAGCAGCGCTGGATACGGAGCCGAAGGTTCGTTTGCGACATATTCTGTGTATAAACTGGCACAACTATAAAATGTATGGTTAGGACTGTATTCATATCTTACGCTCAAAAAACGCACTCGTAGATCGGAGATGAAATCGGCGATAATCGATGTATGGATTTAATCCTTAATGGAGTCTTTATCAAATTCTCAGCCTTAAAGTATGCCATAGTACTTAAAGAAATCTAAGCCCAAAAGATACTTCATAAATTTTCATCAAAATTTAAATGTTAGTGGCGCTGAAATTGTCCAGCGTCAGTTTCTGGTATTACTCTTTCCCCTTTGCTTCAGTCACTTGCCAATAGAGGGCCTATATACATATGGAAGTGACCCTACCTAATAAAGATTTACCATGAAAAGTTAAGTTTTAAAAATCTTAAACAAATCAATATTCCAAGAAATCATTAGGAGATCTATCAGAAATAGTAGGTTCGATTCTGGAGTTTTTCGCTGTTCCATAATAAAAATAACAATACACAAAAAAATTGTGATGTTTTCTCATAAGTCGAAAGGAGGGTAAGAGAATAGCATAACAAAACAGATTCAATTCCGTTTACCTGCTCAGGTGATGAAGGAGGGTTCGATCGACAGGTTGCTCTTTCGCTGGATTCCATCTCTTTTACAACGCCAGTGCGAGAACAACGCGAAGCGCTCAAATCAGTGGCGATTCTCTATGGAATGTGATAAAAAAGTGTTTAAATAATTAATGTTAATATCAAAATAACACTGAAGTGGTTTTATAAAACTTAAATAAACCCTACAAATGTAAAGACCAATAGTTTTCTCGACTCTTGTTCTTCGTAGAGCAATTTTGGCTTTGTTTAGAAAGAATTTTCAGGCAGTAACCGGTTCTGAGGCTCTCTTGTTGGCCAACAATACAACATAAAGAGTCTTGAAGAGAGTCTGAAAGCGTGGAATAGCAACGCAAGTGAAAACATAAACAAATAATTGGCAAAAAACAAACAAAAAATCCGAAAGGGGAAATGGGAACACGTGATTAAACATTGTTGGATTAGAATTCACTGAGAAAATATATTTTCAAAGACAATTATGAGCCTGCCACAGCTAATTGACGACTTGCAGCGCCTCTCGGAGGACCAGGATAGCGCCGATCTGGTTTTCATTTGCGGTCGAGATGAGCGCATCTATGCCCACAGGCTGATGCTGATGGCCCGGTGAGTGGTTGACGATTTGATGATTACCTTTTGAGGCACTTTACAAGGTGCGTGCTGGCATGCAACGTGTTGTGGGAAGGGGAAAAAGGGGTATTCCATCAGGCAATTAATTGACTTTTTGCGATTTTCATTCATTGATTGCAGTTGCAAGAGCTTCAAGACGGCCAAGCGCGGCGAGGTGTGCCGCATTCCCGGTTGCACCGTGTCGCCAGCTGCTCCTGGCGCCTCCACGCCCACAACTATTCGTCTGCCACACGTTAATCCCGACTTATTCCGGCAGTTTATCCTGTATGTCTACACAGCGAAGGTAATAGCAGATACATTATAGCACTATAATCTCAAGTATAGACGTATATCTCCTATCCAGTTGGTTCTCCAAGATTCGCAGGTCTTTCAAATGATGATGATGGCCCAAGACATGGGCGTCGTAGAGCTGCGCACCGCTTGCGAGGATCATGTAATATCCACACTCTCGGTGGACAACGCCTGCACCTTCTTGACCGCAGCAATGGATATTCACGAAAAAGCAGGTAAACAAGCGCAATCATTACTTCATAGAATTTCAAGAATCCCGCGGAATTCAGTGAAAAGTTACCAATAACAGCACAAAACGTGCACTTTAAGCGCCAACGTCTATCTGTCGCACGTTGTGCCATCAAATCACGTAACACACATGTAATGCATGTTTTTTGTTTATTGCATTAAAACGTGAATGTTACAACTAATCAATAGGTAGCTGACGTAATAGTCCCGATCGGCTACAAATGCAGGCTACACTGTTTGTCTAGTATTTCTGTTGCTCGCGCTGTAATCTCTGGCCGTACGCACGCGAGATGAGGTTCCACGAGTCCATAAACCGGTCCATGCACATGGATATGCATTTCTAATTAAATAAAGTTGGGGAACAACCACAATTAAAGTTCACATTCCTATGCATAATTTATGAAAGTCTTGCCTGTTCAGAGGAATCCAACGAGGAGCCGGGCTTGCCGACACACTTCTTGAAGCACTTTTGCGTCATTTGCGTGAGCAACTCCTGGGCATTAGCTACGGCAATCTGTTGTTTCACCTGATCCATGATCTCGCCCTTGTTTACATTAGCCATAGCCATTTTTTAAAATTTAAGATTTATAAAATAAGTTGAACTTGTCTGGTTGCTTATTGTGACGGGGATTGTCGATATGTCTCTGAATTTTGTATGTCTGTAAGCCTGCTGTGTTTCGCAGAATTAGGTGCTGTTAGGCGCAAATTTTCCACTTCTCAGTGCAATAACATAACATTACAGCCGTAAGCGTGCTGTTAGGCGCAAATTTTCCACTTCTCAGTGCAGTATATTATGGTATATTTTTAACATAAGGCGGTATATCTTGGTATATTTCTGAGGGTCGGACGGTATATTTTAACGATAAAACCACGGCCACACTGCTGAACAAGACGCCGGCAAAAAAGCGAAAATTTTTCCATTTTAATTAAAAAACGCTTTAAAGTCGCCAAAATGTCCTTCAAAAGCAATCCCAAGGTGCAGAAGGTGATGGTGCAGCCCATCAACCTGATCTTCCGTTACCTGCAGAACCGCTCGCGCGTGCAAGTCTGGTTGTACGAAAACATTTCGCTGCGCATCGAGGGCCACATTGTGGGCTTCGACGAGTACATGAACCTGGTGCTGGACGACGCCGAAGAGGTGTACGTTAAGACGCGCCAGCGCAAGAGTCTGGGCCGCATCATGCTGAAGGGGGACAATATCACGCTGATACAGAACGTCAGTCCGTCCAAGGATTAGTGGCGGTGGATGGCACCCGGCCACGCGTCCACCTATGTACTTTCCCGCTAGGATGCACGTCGTAAATATAAGCTAATTATACCTGTAAAGCCGAAACCTCAAAACGAATGAAAACTAAATAAATGGAGAACTTTCTGTAAACTTGAGACTTTTCAATTGGAGCAGAGCTGCCTCCAGGTAAAGGGCTTTAACTTGATTTTGGAGTAATCTTTTGTTGGTTTTCTTGCAGGTGCCAAGTGTGCGGCATCTTTTATGGAGCGGTGCATCATCTACATAGGGGAGAATGCCGGGGAGTGCGTCAAGACAAATGCTTTCCTAACGCTCACCAAGGACGCCATCATCAAAATCATCTCCTCCGACTATGTATGGCATCAAATATAAACATATACATTATCAATAAAATAACCTTTCCTTGCTTAGTTCTGCTTGGAGGAGGAGGAAGTTTGGCGCTGCGTTTTGGCCTGGGCCAAGTACCAGGCTGGCGTTACCCAACCCACCGCCCATTGGACTGAGGAGGAGCGTGCACGTGTCTGCCAGCACTTGAGTGGGGTTATGGGTCATGTGCGTCTGCTGCTGATAGACAGCCAAGTCTTTGCCGAGGAAGTAGAGCCCACCGGCGCCGTGCCCATGGAACTGTCCCTAGAACGCTATCGCTATGCCGCCCTGCATGCCAACAAAATGATGGAGAACGACAAGCGGCTGCAGCCCCGCCTCACTGTTGCCGTCAACATGTTCCCCGGTTCGCAAATCCTGCGCAACGACAAACTGCCGCTGCAGGGCATCCTCAATGGATGGTATGGGGTGCCCAAACAATCCTGGCGTCTGGTCTATCGTGCCTCCTCCCACGGCTATGACTCCAGTGCCTTTCATCGGTACTGCGACGGAGTCGCCCCCTGCATGGTCATTGGTTTAGGGTCACATGGAGAGATTAGCGGCGGCTTCACCGACGTCGCCTGGGCCAAAACAAGTCGCAAGGGTGGCTATGTGCACTCGGAGCGGGCCTTTCTCTTTCTGCTGAATCCTTCGAATGGCGAACAGCCGACGAAATTTGATATTTTGAAGAAACCCTATGCCATCTGCTATCATCCCGAGTGAGTGGATCGAAACACTCTAAAACACACACATTCTAATATTATAATGTGTTTTTGTTTCAGTTGTGGACCCATTTTTGGAGCTGGTGCCGATCTGCTCATCTCCAGCAACTGCAATGCCAACATGGACTCGTACTCAAATCTTCCGCATTCCTACGACGGCCCCAGTGCCGCCCACCTCACTCTCTTCGGGGACTACAACTTCACCATCAGCGACTACGAGGTGTACACCTTGGCCTCGCCAGGAAGTGGTCCAAGCAGCGGACCCAGCCACAGTCACAGCCAGAGCCAGAACATGTCGAGCAATGGCCAGGCACCAGGTGTGCCCTCAAAGGCAAAGTACGATAGATACTAGGTAGGGAACGAAAGCACACACACAAAACTTGTAGTTGCATCAGCTATGCTGGCAATAAAACCTATTTCCTCGAACACACTTAAACGAACATTGTAATCCCAGATCCGCCACACGGCTTCAGCTCCAGCTACAGCTAATGGCATTAGGTGTGAGGTGAGGTGTTGTCGGGTTCATGACTCTGCCCAAGGTAAAAAACCAGAAATCGAAAGGTAATTAATGAATTGTTATATAAAGAAAATTATTGTCTTTTTTTGGCGGCAAGAACCAAATTAATTAACTCGTTTTGCGACTTGTATGTAAAGCCAGAGTGCGGATCGGATCGAACTCGAAACTATAGTTTCCTTTCAACTCTCTATAGTGCTCCGAGTACTTTATATTGTTACAGATATATGTGTATGTGTACCGCATGTTGAATGCCATTTGCACTTGAACCTGGTCCCGGGGTTGGGGTCCATTCCACACCACACCTCTCGAACGGTGCCAGCAGCCGCCAACCGCCAGACAATTGACAAAGGAAAACGAATGCGTAAAAGGCGATTTCTGTTGGCTATTTCTGTGTTTCAGTTTGAGTTTAGTTTTCAGCTATAACAATAATATTATAATGAAATCTAACGATAGACACTCTGCTGTGGACTGGGGCCTGTACATGGCGCTGTGAAGTTGCTCTCGACTGGTTCTCAACTACTTTTCAAAAATGCTTCTGATAAATTGGTCCACGCTCTAAATTGGTTCTAATTAAAGCTTTTTTATGCTGATCGAATCGATCAATTGGCTTTGGGGCCAGAGTCGCGTATTGTGGCTCCGAGGGCCCCTCCCCCACGTTTTTGTCATTCGTCTCGAGCCAAAGATTTGGAGATTTTGGGGTACGAGAGAACCCCTCCACAATGACAGCGGGCAGGCAGGCAGCAACAAACACTTGATGTTTGTGTCGTTTTTTATTTTATTGTGGCTGCACAAAAGATTGGCAGTTAAAATTTTGTTAACGACTTAAGGCCAAACGCTTGAGAGCCACCATTCGATAAGGTCTACAAATTGTTTTACTTTTGACAGACGACGACAAAAGGCCCGAGGCGATCCAGTCCAGTCCAGTCCAGTCCCTGCCTCAATCCAATCCAATCCAATCCCTGGCCAGGGCGCTAGAAGGAATGTCATTTTGAGTTTCTCGATTCATTTCGATATCTTGTCAAATTATTTGATTGTCGAGTGGATATTTCGGTTCGGTTTCGGAGCCATGGATTCGATATGCTCTGCGGCAACTAAATCCAACCAAGAAGTTTCAATGTCTGTGTCGCATGAAAAAGGGAAAGGCAGAAAATAAATAAAACTAATGCTTAAAGTTGTTGGTGGTGGTGGCTGTTGGTTGGTCGGATCGGGTCGGAGCAGAGTGTAAACTTGTTCTGGTCTTATGAAATCGGTTCATATTGCATATGCAACATGCGAGTGGAGTGTCTAGGGACGGGCAGGAAGTACAAGTCGGGTCTAAATGAATCATTGGCTTCCTCTAAGCACTCTCATTGGGGAAATATTTGTTGATCTCCGAGGAAACCAAGTTGGTTAAACATTCCTTTAACATTGAATATCATTGAATACCATAAATATCATCTATATAGGCTTAAGTCTTCAATCTATTTGGAACCGATTCAGATTTAATTCTTGGCAACTTGCAATTCTATGCAAAAGAAATAAGAGTATTCCCCTATGAATCTGTAGAGCATAGCTCTGCTCTTTTTTCAGTAGAGAGTTAGGAGAATAATAGGATATGGTAGGAATAGTATGAATAATTCAGTTCAATTTTCAAGCCACAACTCATTTCCATCCCTGGCTCTTATGAAAATGTGGCATATTTGTTTTGGGCTTGGTCAGCAACAGCCAGCCCCCATAGAACAAAGGCCTGCCTGCTATTAGCCATGGCCATGGTTATGGCTCTTGGCCAACACTCAAGCGGTGGCAGCTGGCCAAACCCAACCCCCAACCAAGTGTTACACTTGAAGTGTATCGTAACTTATTTGCATGTAAGAATGCGAACAAAAAGGAAAAGTACCACAATCGCCGCCACGACGATTGGCCCTGAAATGAGAGCAGCTTTTAAAATCATCACTGGACAGAAATGTATTCATACTGGTACTCGTAGGAGTACTGTAGGATTTCCTATTTCTCACCCTTTAATGGGAGATTTTAGTTTTTGTACTCTTTTCAGCAAAAATTTACCATCTGAATACTCAGAGAGTACTCAGAATAATGAAATTCTGAACTGATTCGACACAGACTACGGAGACATCCTTTTTTGTATGAGTGGACATACACAGTAACACAAATATTTTTAGGCAGAATGCGAAGCAAAGAACTAGTCAATTTGTGTGGTACTTTTTCGTTCTCTCTACCAGAAAATCAAGTAGAGAGTGAGCGAGAAAATACCGAATCGATTCGAATCTGACTCGGTAAAAATTACGGGATTCGCTTCATTCGGTCCGTTTTGGGCAAGCGGACCGAACGAGGCGAATCCCACCGAATCGTTTCGGTTGCCAGCTCATTCAGGGCTTTAGTATGTATTATTCTTCCTTAAGAATATTGGACCCAAAATATATCACAAATTAACATCTTTCCTCCAAAGTTTTCAACGAATAAACAATAGATTGGCCTTAAAATAGAGCCCTCGCAAGAACATAGTATTCATGAGTATGTATATCCTACCTTTTCAGATAATTCCCATTACGAATAGTTGCACAAATGATTCATTAGACAACAGGAGACTACACCACTTAAGGGCGGGCGTATTTCCCAGACACATTCATGAGAAAGATAAGATCCGAGACCACCTGTCAGAGGCTGCTGCAGCATCCGTTTCCGCCATTGGACAGTCGGCTGTCGACTATCGAGGCGGGGAGATCCAGTTAAGAGGTGCTAATATGCAAAGTGGAGCCCCAATGAGCCCCAAGAGCTGACGTAGTCATAGACGCGTCTACGTCTACGCCCTCGTTCAATCAGCTTCCCCTCCCAATCCATCCATCAGTTATTCATTCATAGCCGCCGCATCATCGCCCCTTCAATATACGCCTGGCTCATCGCCCCATCATGCACTCGGCATTACAAGCGACATACCTGATAATTCCTACCCATCCCCCAACCCTGTAACAACTAACCAAACATTCAGTTGACTAAGAGAGAACAACAGACTGGACTTGGAGCAGAGAGAGAGAGAGCGACGTGGACTCTCTTAAGCTTATGGTACCCACAATCATGTGTGTAACGACGGGCGCTCTACGAGCTCTCGATGCTCTTCACACAACCAGTTTTGAAAGCCCCCCACTTTAAAAATACTTTTGCTTTTCATTGCCTTCGAAAAAAAAATAAAAACAGCGCAGACATTCATTTGGTTACTGTGATTAATATGCGTTTTTCGGAAACGATACGGAATGTATAACAATCAGTCGCCACGAAACGAGACTTCCCATCCAGGCATCCCATCCAGACATTGACCTAGGTCACAAATTCAGATCTTACAAGCATTCTTATTAGTGGGATGCCTCAGGGAGAGCTCCTCCAACCATCACCGAACGAAGCAAAGTTATGTTTTTAAGCTTTTAGTTTAAGTCAAACCCCGATACAAATAACGATTGAGTTTCGTAGTCAAGTCCATAAATATTTCAAATTTGATATTCTAAAACCGTTCTAATGGTTCCAAAAACCTCTTAAATCGTATAATCTCAGCCAGAACACTAAACAAATCAACCGCAAATATTTTGAATGTTCGATTTTATCTCAGAAATCATTGAAAAATATATAATAACTGATTTGTGTTCTTAGTTCTGCTCGATTGAATGTGTAATTAAGATAATTTGTTATGCTAAAAGTGCAAAAGACTACCAATTTCATAGACTTCACTCTAAGATGATTTTGACCAACCCAAAATAATAAAAAAAACTACGAGAAATAAGTGTAAATTGATTGCGCAAAGAAATCCATCTGGGGATCAACAAATCGACGAATCAATGTACAATAAGTAGAAGTATATCCCCCAAAGGGCATTCACAGTTCGTTTATATGTGGCTGCATTATTTTCCGGTTTTTGTTTTATTTTTCGTAGCAACAACACGAGAGTGTTTTGCTGAGCAGAGTGTGTGCACGGGGCTCTGGCTCTGGCACTGGCACTGGCACTCGCAAAAGCCTCTCACTCTTTCAAGAGTCTCGAGCCCCGTAACAGAGAAGCAACTGTTTTAAGTCTTTTCTTGAGATTTCGATTTCGATTTCGATTTGAGTCTGGCGTTGGGGCTGGTGCTGAAACATTTTTCCTCCCATTAAGTTAAGTTTTTTAAGGCGCGCGGCGAGAACGGCTCAGTCTCGATTGTCAGCTTGTCGTGAATGGTTTTTTTAGCACCAGATCCGCGGCGTACGAGTGCGAGTACGAGTACCGATCGATCCGTTGATCTTCCGACCACGTAGTCCGAGCCAAAGTCGAAAGCTAAAGCCAAAGCTAAAGCTAAAGCTGTGGCTGAAGCGTCGCTTAAGTTATTAAAACAACAACTTTGCACATCTATATATCTATAGTATATATACTACATAACTCGCTACTTTGTGTGCGTGTGTATCTGTGTGAGCAGCAGCAGCAGCAGTGGGGAGCAGACCGTGTGGAGCGCTGACGGATTTGTTATTTTTTGCATAAATCAGTTTCGAGAGCGGGCGCGCGCGTACTTCGAGTTTGGGTTTCGGTTTCGGATCCAATCCGATCATCGCTGTTCTGTTCTAGAATCTAGATGATGCCGCATACACCGCAGCCGGCGGCAGGCGTGAGGCAGCTTCAGTTCGTTGCCTGAGTCTTTCGTATCGCGGAAATCAAAATCCAAATCGATCTATAAATAAAGCCAATCGATGGCTCTGACCAACTTCTCACTGCCTTTCGGTGCCCTTGGCCAGCCCTGGGGCGTCACCCTGGCCCCTCTGCATCCCATTCATCAGCTGGCCAGCAACACCAACAATCTGCTGTACTCGCCAGCCGATCATCAGCAGCAGCATCCCCCGCAGCAGCAGAGCCCCACAGATCCCGAATTCTTTAAGAACAATCCCTATGCCCCACCACAGCAGGTGCCCCAGCCACAGGGCGGAGTCGGGGGCGGAGGCTATCAATACCAGAGCAGACGCAAGCAGAACAATGCCTATCTGCCACCCACGGGACCGAGTGCGGCACACAACTCTGTCTACCACATCCAGCAACAGCAGCAGCAGACACAACAGCAGCAGCAGGAAGCCAACAACAACGAGAATAGCGTCTCCTACCAGAGCTCCTCCTCCAGGTCGAACAGCGCCGGCCAAAGCACCATTCAGCTGACGCAGACCCACCATTCGACTGGCAGAGGCCCTGGCGAGGGCTCGTACAGCCGCTTTCCGGGCCAGCAGAAGCAGTTCTTCAATGCCCATGGCAGTGCCAGTGCCACATTCAGCAAGAACAGCGGCAGCTTCAGTATTACCAGCTACGGGAGCAGGCAGCAGCCGCAGCCGCAACCCCAGCCCCAGCCCCAGGCGCCACTGCCACAGCCACAGCCGCTCCCAGCACCTCCCCCGCCCGCTCCCCAGACGCAGCAGCAGCCACGGCCCAGACAGTCGAAGCCCGAGGCTCAGCCCGCCTCCACCTACGGCGTGGCACCACCCGAAAATTATCCGGAAAGAGCTCCCGGCTTTACGAGGGTCCAAGCGGGGCAGGGCTCCCGCACTCAGGTTCATGCCGTTCTCGACTACGATGTGGAGGAGGGCGATGAGGAGGATGAGGATGAAGACGACGACGGACAGTACTACGAGGGGCAGGGGCAGGAAAGAGGTGAGTGCGACGAGATCTAATTAATACTCAAATTTAAGGGAAAATCTAGAATCTAGGGAATGTTTCAAGAATATTCTTTATATCATCCAGGACTCAAATTTCTCGTTTAGCTTTAGAAAGTAAATAGTTCTCATAGCTTATAGCTGTAGAAATACTTGATGATTCAGCTGAAGACATGCCCCAGGTTGCACTTCATAAAAAAAACATACAATTTAGTTTAGAACCCATGGATTTTCTATGCACAGCTTATGAATCCCTAAAAGTTCTTCATTAAAGACGAAGCCTTGGAAATAGAATTTATTATTCTAAGCTGAAAAACCCTATAGAATTTCCTAAGGTGATATTTTAGTCTTAGCTGTGAAAGTGAAATAAGAGCTCTCACAGACTGCAAAAGAAGATGATCTATGGATCTTAAGTGAAGATTTGAAGTGGGGATCTTGAAGGGAAGTGCGTATCAAGGGTTTTCAAGAGCCTACACATAATTATACCACAAACAAGAGCACTTTCAGGTGGCTCTTTCTTCATAGGTAACACGTATATTTATATATATATATATATATGTTCTTCAAATCCCAAGATCTATGTACTTCCTCATTCGATCGCAAGGAATCCCCAAAGTGTTGCTCATATCGTTCTCTCGAGTACCGACATTCCATATCGAGCATTTCCTGATTGGATTCAGATGATTCCGAGATTATAATCTGAACAAATGCTACTTGTACCGAGTATTTATTGTATAATTTTAATGGAGCATGTACGATCGTAGAGATCGTAGAGAGGAGTAGAGATCCGATAAGCGGAGAGGAGTCCCACGTCTGCACACGATTCAGAGACGGACTGACGGAAAGTCATGTTAATTTTTCAAATACCTCGTACTGGTAGTTGTTGTTGTTGTTGTTTGCCTGCTACTTGTGTATCTTTCCAATTGGGAGCAACTTCTGCACATCTGTAAGAGAGGAGAAACACAACAACTGAAGCAACAACTAAGGCAGCAGCAGCAGCTACGAAACAAGGGGTAAACAAGCGACAAGGTCAAAGGTCTACAAACCGATCGGCAAGGTCACTTTCAAGACAGTAATGGCCAGTGTTTGACTTTTATAACCGCATTTCTGACTAACACGCATCACGATTTATGCCAGGCCTGCGATTGGGATTGGGATTGGGTTTGGGCTTGGGTGTATCTATGAGTGTATCTACTATACATATATATCCATCCATCCAACCATCCATCTAACTGTCTTTCTGTCTGTGAAGTACACTCTGCCCTTGTTGTCCTCACACAAAAAAAAACTGTCAGCGCCTTACTTTTAAAGATGTTTCACTTTTGTGGCGCCTCTTTGTTGTATCCAAAAAACCATCTCCACCTCTGCCTCGTTGAGGCATTAGCCAGCAAGCAACCTGCCTGCCTGCCTGCCAGAGACCTCAAGTACTCAACTCGGTTACGGGGGCTATTATGCAAGAAGCTCATGAACCAGCTCTCCATACGAGAAGAGAAGAGACGTGTGCACACGCAAGATACAAGATACAATATTCATATACAAGTTTCGGTTTGGCTCTGGCTTTGGCTTTTCGTGGGGTTTTGTCTTTCGAGTGTACTACTCGCAACATACTTTGTTTTGTGAGACACAAGAGATGCATCTGAATGATATGGTGGTTCTATTTCATCACCAGAATCCCCAGAATCTAGGGCAATCCATTAAAAAGTGGATTATGCTGCCAAAGTGCAAAGTGCAATCTCTTTTCTTCAAGCAACTCCTTCTTCAACTCGTTTTGCATCCTGTGTAAAAAGGGAAAGTTTGTTTTGTATGCCCCAGATCCGGATCTGGGTTTGGGTTTGGGTTTGGGGGCATTACAAATGCCAGACAGACATGAAATTTATACTCGTAAACTCGTACATGCATGTGTCAACTGCAACTGCAACTGCAGCAGTCGTCCCATTTATATGCAGACTGCAGACTGCAGACATTGCAGCATTGCACTTGCAACTCCAACAACATCTTTTATTCGGGGTTTAACCAAAAGCGATCACTGATTAATGCAGTGACAACGACACTGTCTCTGTCCACTGTCCCTGTCCCTGTCCTTGCCATGAATCATTCGAAAATTCAAAAAACCAATTGCCATTTACATTCCATTCACAGAAAAAACGAATAACAATCAGATGCCCACTGTGACACCCATCCAGGGTCCGATCTTTCTGAAGAACGGCACGGTGCCGGTGGTGCCGCTGTTCTCCTATCCAAAGCTCAACAATGGATCGTTCCTACAGATTCCGGTAAGTACTCTTTGGGGTCTCTTGGTAGTTGTTTTTTTGGGGCAGGCAGCCAGGCACGCGCTCACTTTAATTCCATCTCAGGTTCTGATTCGATTTGACTCGATATCGATCGAGTTTGCTTATTTTGCGGAAATAACTTTGACGATTTTGTGTTTTAACTTTTTTTATTTTATTTGTTGTTGTTTTTTTTTGCGTGCACGAAGGTCGTGCGAGTTCGTTTCATTAAGAGGTGTGATGATGTTGATGACGACGCCGACGACGACGACGAATAAAGAGCGAATGTAGAGAGAGAGAGAGAAACCACCTCCTCCGTTCTGCCACGATCTTGGGTCTTGGGTCTTGGCGACTCGGATCTCGGGTCTCAGATATCCCCGGTCAAGCCAAAATATAAAATTCGTTTTATTTTTTATGTTTATGACTTACTTGAGTCATTTTCACACCCCGGCCATAATTTTTGTTATGGTCTCCTCCACCAATCTAAAAAATCTCCAGTACCCAACAATTTCCTTCCTTCCCGCAATTAATTAAACTTTTATTTAAAATATTTTGTATATACATATATTCCAAACATTTAGATCTGGTGGACGGCCTTGTCTGTAGCTCTGGGTCTGGATGTGAGGGGTGATGTGATCAAGGGAGTGCCATGCATCAAGCGATATCATCAGCTGTTCTGCCCCACAGCCGGCAACAGCTATCCCATGTGAGTATACACTAGACATACAACACCATTCCATTGTTCTATTTCTATTTAGTTATAGGATATCTATAGTAGGAAATTCCAATTCCAAAACGGATACGGAATGTACGTCATGGGGTTTTCCCCGCCTCCGAAATAACCACAGATATTTGTACATTCCCCTGATTGGTGTGGCCTCAAGGATGTTTGCTTTTCTGTGGTTTTTCTTTGGTTTAGTCTCTTCTCAAAGAACACTGACCTGATTTAAATTTCTTAGTCAGTGACTGGCTACGTGACTTAGCGGCTCTCATTAGCATGGGCACGCAAAACCAACTAATGCGGTTTCATGTCCAAATCTGAAGCTAATGAACCTCTAAAATGGAACCTCTCTATCCATTCAAGATAAAATATTGATCCTCCAAGGCAGGGTTCGCATTTTTGCACATCTTTGTAGTGCGTTTGTGTGCTTATGGAGCAGGCAAAACGGATAAATGTATTGATGCCATTCACTGTTATAAACGTGTACATGCGCGACAGCGCAGCAGCAGCGCACTTTCATATGCACATAAGAATTAACTTTTCAATCCAACCATTTGATTCCAATCTCTTTAAAAACATAAGACATTGATACTGATACCTTCACTAATCCTTCTTGAATCCACTCCCTTTCCAGCGACAAGATCGAACGTTTCATAGATGACAACAAGGCACTGATGCGTCGAATGTATGGAGACTTTGAGATGAATATGGAAGGACCTGCAGGAGGAGGAAGTGGCGCAGGAGGAGGAGGACGCAACCAGCAGGCAAAGGTGCGGAAAAGGCGATTCATAGACGAACCGGATATATTCATTCCACCCGGTGCCTATGCGGCCAATGCCGGGGAGGCCGTAGAGGCGGGCGACAGCTATTTTGGAGAACTACGCAAGAAGCGTCAAGCGGCAGCCGGTGGCAGTCGCAACAGAGGAGGAGCAGGAGGAGGCGGCAGCAGTGGTGGTGGTGGTTCTGCTGCTGGAAGCAATGCCAACAGGACACCTGGTGGGAATGGGGGCGGCCAGGCGAATTCGGGTACGGGCAGACTCGATGCCTGCGAATCGAAGATCGAGATCGTGACACCCTATTGGGCATCGAACTCTGCGGGCAAGATCAGGGCCATTGTCAATACCCAGCACTTTGAGCAGGCCATCCACCAGGAGGTGTGTAGGTGAGTTGAAGCATACACATTTACCAAATATATGACTCTAACTATCCGTATCCCATAATCACAAATAGCAATACTCAAACACCGCGCTGCGAGGGAGAATGTGGATGCGAGCAAAAGTACAAATGGCATCGTCTGCTCGCCTACGATCCCGACAACGATTGCAAGGGTATCTTTATGGATTGGTTCCTGTTTCCTTCGTGCTGTGTCTGTAGATGTAATCCTTAGATTCCTCCCTCCCGAGTCCCATGTCTGAGCAAATTATAGAATGAAAATGAGTATAATCGTAGGTAGAATGCCACTGAATGTATTTTAGTTGTTGTTAAGTAGATCTTATATGTACGATATATCCACTATTTGGTAGCTCTCTAGTTAAGCATCGATTCTATGTAGTTAAGGTTTTATACGAGCCATATATTTACCCCTAACCTGTATCCTGTATCCTATATCCTCCCCTCCATTTACTCGTAAACACACATTCGATATAACTCAAACTCCATTTGTTGTTGTACTGTAATCGTAATTGTAATCGTAAAATGAATCAAGCGAATAAAGTCTATTATATACAAATATCAATAAGAATTTCCGAGTTTACGAACTCTACCACACAACTGTACGAACCAGTATAAGTATAAGAGTTTAATTAGCATATGAGTGAGATTTCCAAACTAATCTTTTTGAAGGTTTCTTGTGAGATTTCTCTGATTTGATTTTGCTTAAGTTTTATAGTTTTATAGCAAGATCTTTGGAATGATCCAAACGTGAATAAGTAGATGTGAAAAAAGAATATAGCTACTATTGTAATAGCGTCCTGGAAACAGGTCTGCAATGCCTACTATATATTTATGTTGACTTTGAAAGGCGTAGGATGATTTCAAACGTAGATATACCTTCATGAAGTTACTAGTTACAAAAAGCATTCAGAAGTGTGGAATACACTCTAATACCAAACAGAATTACTTCTGAATTTGAAATTCTTTTTACTTCGCAAAAGATTCATCTCTGGAATGGGACGAACACCCCATTTATGTATATTAATTAGCCATATCGCTTTGACTCCATATTTTCAACATTAATTGATTCCTAAAATATGAGCATGCTAAAGATCAGGCTACTCGTAGGAGTAAACCAGTTTAATTCAATTACCTTACTCCAAAAGCTTAGTTCAGAACTATTTAAATCAGAAATCCATTGATTTATAGCAATACTGAAGGGGAATTCACATATATTATATGTTTTAAAAGTGAAGCAGAATGATCAGCATGAAACAAAAAATCGTTGTTTTCTGGTATATAAGCCAAGCATTAGACTGCTGCAAAAGAAACGATTTTGTTAATATTTAAAGCAAATAATTCAAGTTCAAGAGAAAAAGAAAAAAAAACCAAAAAAAAAAGGAAAAAAAAGTTAATTCTGCATCGGCCGGGAATCGAACCCGGGCCGCCCGCGTGGCAGGCGAGCATTCTACCACTGAACCACCGATGCTTGATAACTGAAGAGCTCAGATTTGCATCTCGAAGCTCCAGTCGGCGTAAGCTAAAATCTATGTCATGGAAAAGCTTTCAAAGCCACTTTTCAATAACATATAAAAGACGCGAGTTCGAACCCCACTCCACACAGCTTTACTTTCGTTTCTTTTTCTCCTTTTTGGAATTGTAATTGTTTTTTATTTCCTTTTTTTGGGGGGTTTTTCATATTTTTCTGACGAAACGCATTGGGCATGAACAATTCCGGGTTGTTCCATAAAGCGTTTATGCGACTGTATGCCTTGGCCCATAAATAAGCCAAGGAGCAATATGTGGGGGGAGTGAGTGTGGTGTGTGATATTCCTATTCCTCATAGCCAGGCGGCCATAAAAACCCTTGCACACACACTGCTTCCCGATGCCCGTCACGTATTCAATCACAGCCAATGGCTACACAAAACTGCGCTATATCAAAAATTTCGGTCTATCGCTCCGTGCGTGGTATACAAATGGTACGATTTTACAGACACCGACAACCCGCACATCTTCAACACCAGTTCCCAGTTTCAGTTTCAATCCCAGAGCAGATGTGCGGGGGCTGGGCTGAACTCACAGTTAAACGGACCAGCACCAGGCTATGGGCACTATTGACGCGACCGCAATGTCAACAATTGCAGCCATGACGACGACGAGGACGAAGGAACAACAGATTTAAGCACTCCGAGAGTTAACCATGGAAGTTGGCCAAGCGAAAACATTCCGCCAGAATGCTGGTTGTGTTAGAGGATAATGGTTGTTGGGCTGGACTGGAGGTTGGTTTGCTTTTGCTGTATTGAGTGTTGGGCGGTATTATGATGATGAAGTCGCCGCCCACCACCCAGCCAGGCAGCAGGACAATAGAAATGCGAGGACACTGGAGCAGCTCATGCACACAGACACCCAGAGAAATATATATAAATATGTAAACGACTGTATGCATGGTGGCAATGATATGGATGTTCTATAATACTCTCACCAGTTGGGGTACTATATAGTTTTGAGTGCACTAAAGCGTAAATATTCTTTATCAGAGCAGCTTTTCCACGTATCCATTAGCTCTTCCAGCGATATAAAATCTTTCAGTGAATGATGGAGAGAAGAGCCTTTCAATAGGGTATTCTAAGCTTCGCTTCTCCTAACCCTTGGCCTCCTCCTTCTCCTTGTTGTTGCTTTTGTCGTTGGTATTCCTGACCCTGCGCGCGCACTAAAAGTGAAAAGAATTCGGCTTGGGAGACAGCGGACACCAGAGGGAAATCCCAACTACGATGCGGTTGGGGCCTCCGTTTCGTTTCGCTTCGCATTTCTTTGGCTCCTCTGTCACTGTTATTGGAGCTCTTTCTGGGGGAGTAGCGCATGTGTAGGTCGTGTAGGAAAGTCCTGGCGGCCAGGCAGGCAGGCACGCAGGCAGGCAGGCAGGCGTCCTGGCGGCGTCATCTACTCCAAATCTCAGCCGAGTGCCGCAATTTTTGGCTATAAATACCAATGTCGGCACGCAGCTTCGCTTAAACTTACATTGTTATCCTAGTGTTCAGGACACAGCGTGTCCGACGGCGAGCGAGCGACAAGAACTTATTCAACTTATTCAGGACGTGACGTAGTTAACATCCTGCACGGGTATCCTGGTACACGGCAGTACCCCTCCGACGACTCATTCCTGCTCCTAAAAAAAACTGTGAGTCAGCGGGGTTGCAGGTGCAGCTGTACCAGTTGCTGCCACTGCCACTTGCCCCTTGTTTTTGGCGTCTGGCTTTGGGGCTGCTTCTGCTTTTGGTTTCAGTGTCAGTGTCATAATAATAAATTTTAAGCATTGTGTAATCCTCCAATCCTCCTTCAATTGAGCAAACATTCGCTGAATCGCAATTAAGGCGCAGCCAACAGCCAAAACAAAACGGGAATAAAATTTAATTAAATATTTTTCCAAGGAAGAAATAATTTTTAAAATGAATCGTAAACTTTTGGTGAATTACTGCGAATATTTCTTAATAAATGAAATACCTTTGTGAGGAATTTAAGCATTTATATGCAATTTTTCACCGGAAATTAAGGAAGACTTTTCTTCCAAATAAAGTTACCGCTTTTCTTCGAGTGTAACGCTTGAAAAATTTAAGAAATTTAAATAATTTTGAGGTTTTAATTACACAACTCTAAGAAATGCACAACTTTCAATTGAATACAGTGCGTTTCAGTGATTTAAGTTTGGGTAAAAAGAGATCTGTAAGTGTTTCTATACCTTATATTCGGAATCTTATATCTTTAAAGAGAATCCCAAACGCAGTATGAATGAAACATCATTCAAAAGAGGTATATCCCTCACTTTTCTAGTTCTCTATGATGATCACCTCTCCAATCTTATATCTATGAAACGCAATGCCTTCCCAAACTATTACTCAATACCATGGCATGCCATCTGTGGGATATTTTTCTGGTTTGACCCCACCTCAAAAGCCAAAAGCCTCCATTGCAATCCCAATTACGAGTCCTACAATTGCCCCCTCATCTGAGGAGCTATCACTCCTTCCCCCTCTCTTGTTGCAGCCACACCCAGACGACCGCAGCCACAAGAACGCCCACCCCTCCACCAACAGAAGACACCAACAATGAGGGCAGCAAGGAGCTCCCAAACGGGAACGGAGAGGGAGAGTGAGAGGTGCCTCATCATGGGAATGGGCCTGAATCTGAGGCAGGGGCACAGGTGGCTTGTATGGCTGCTGCTCCTGCTTTTGGCCATTCCCCCGCAGATGGTAGACGGCCGTTACCTGCCCACAAGGTCGCACGGCGACGATTTGGACAAGTTGCGTGAACTGATGCTGCAGGTGAGCCATGTACCATACCAAGCCATGCCATGACATGCCATTCGTAGCGGTAACTACAGTTAATACACTGAAGCCGAAGCTAAAGCTGTGGGAATGCACTGAAAGAAATTTCAATGTTCTACATTTTTACCCGCTACTCCGTCAGTATGGCGTCGAGGAAGAGTTTGTGGGTGAGAGAGAGAGAGAAAATGAGTAGCCACTGAGATTTCATTTGTTCCTTCTAGCTTTAATAATGATCCGATCTGACCCAGATAATGTCAATATCTGAATACCAATTATAAATCGACATAAAATTCGGAAAAGAAAAAAATCTACAAAGAAACTCTTCAAACTATTGTTGTAAAAAACGAAGGGTTTCATTTAGAATTATATTCTATTAAATTGATATGTTTTATTCAGAATAGTTCCCGTTTTCAATATTTGATTGAAATTTGTTCGAGTGTACATCTTTACATATGTGTGTTTGGTGCAGGGGGGTCTTCTGTGTCTGTGTCTGTGCATGCCCCCCGAAGTTCAGTTTTGTGCATTGGCATTTTTGGGCATCGGTGGTGCCACTGCTCTGCTGCTCTGCTGCTGTGCTGCTGTGTTGTCAATATAATTAACTAAATGAAAATGAAAATGAAAAGAGTGCCCATCGACACAGACAGACAGAGAGACAGAGACCCGAACGAAGCAACAACAAAGCGGGTTAAAGCGTGGTATTAAGTTGCAATTATGTCGCCAATTATTGAGGTTTTATTTTCGACTTGTTTTTGTTTTCGTTTTTCGAGATGGTTTGGTGCTTCTTTTCTTTTGCTTTTTTTGTTGGGTTCCGAGTGGAATTGAATGGAATGGATGGGTTGCGTCATCGGATGGTATATCATCGAGGTATAAGGTTACGGGTGTCCCTCTGTCCCTCCCTGGCGACTCCTGCTTATCGGAGACCCACTTTTGCCCCTCCTGCTGCTGCTGCAAACCATTTCAGAAATATTTTTACATATTTCGCAAGCCTCTTAAAGAGGGGTCTCTGGTCTGGTCTGGGGTCTGGTCTTCCCATGGAGAGGAGAAGCCTGCTCGGCTACAATCCCCCAACAATCTGTCGGCTTGGCCAACACTTTGGCTGCTTCTCATCTTTTGCACAATATTTTTGGAGACGCAGCGCCGCTGCTGCTGCTCTGCCACCGTCACTGCTGCTCTGCTGCTGCTGCTGCTGCTGTTATTTAATTTTTTCTTTTTTTCCGCGCAGTTTCCTGTTCTTTTTCGCAACCAAAACACAAAAATGCGGCTTAAATGGTTAACGGGGAGAGGGGGAGAAGGAGGAGTGTGTGCAGAGGAGCCCCACTTAAATAAATGTGGATGTGCAGCTGCAAACTGCCACAAAACAACCTGCAATCCGCAACCTGCAACTGTTTGCATGCTGCTGCACACAATCTGTAGCACTCAGAAACCCCTCTTTTTCTGAGTCATGGCCCACTGCGAATCGATAAATCGCTGACGTGCGACGCAGACAAAGACCAAGAGCAGACCAAGACCATACTTGGCCAAAAGCAACAGCAAATATCCACAAACTTGGCCAAAAGAAGCAGCAAATATCCACAAAAAGAAGGCAACAAAACTGTAGCAAAAAAAAAAGAAAAGGGAAATCAAATGTCAAATAGCAAATAATGACGATGACGTGGTCTGGGGTCTGGTCTGGTCTGCCGGTCTGCTGGCTGGCGTCTGCCGATGATGAAGGTTGACTTCTCTACGTCACATCGGAGACAAGACACGACAAATGGGGCAAGGGGGGCAAAAACCAACTGAGGAAAATGGAAAAACACTTGACACACAATAATGCATTGAACCTGAGAGACAAGAGACAACAGAGACCAAGAGTACTATAGACATCGTGACAAACATCGTGAGACAACAAACAAAGTTTAGCCTTTGGCTTATTGCCTGTGGCAGCCAGGATGTCAGAACATGTCAGAACAGAGCATGAGATGCTTAAGACTACTAGGGGATGAGTTGGTATAGTAGGGGATGGTCTCCCCCTCGAAGGGCAAGTCGAAAGGGAATTCCCCAAAGCAATGTCTGTGAGAGAAATGACAGTTTCATAATGCTCTTGAGTTATTAGATGGTTATTTTATTAGTTAATAAAGGCCAAGCTGGGAAAACTTTATAATTTTACAATTAGGGGTAAACATTTATGAACATTAAAGGTCACATTGCGGATGATTTATTTCAAGGAATTGAGGCAAAAAGGGTAGACACTTTTGTGTGTTTCTCAAGAAATTTCTTAGGAATTTATATTCAAAAACTAATACAATGAATCACGAAAGAAAAGACAAGATTAATATCGTAAAAGTTTTCGCCTTGGCAATTTCAAAAGTATTTCCACAACAATTTAATTGCAAAATTGATTCCAACACTTGTCACACTCGCACATTTTCCCCTGCCCCGAAACCCATCTAAAGTTATTACCCACAGATATCACCCCGTAGGCAGAGATACCCCCCTTTAACCGTGGATCAACTCAGAGACACCCCCGTCTTACCCATGGACTCCCCCTCCAAACCCCAAAGGCAGCTGTTTATTTGCTAACCATCTTCCATCTCCAGTTCCAATCCTTGGCCGAAAACCGAGAGGGAAACAGATGGAATGCACAGACGGACAGATATAGAGGCTGTGAAATGAAGGGACTGAGAGACACAACACAACGAAACACAACTCGAAAAGGAAATCACATAACTTTTCACTTAACGACAACTCTCAAATTAAACTGTCCAAAAAGTGCCAGACGATGAGGAGAGTCTTTAATAAAGACAGAGAGAGGGGGGAAACACCCAGCTGCTGCCACCCACCAACCCTAAGCATGCTCAACCCTCTGTGGAGATATGCCCCCCTCCGCCTGTTCCCTGTTGCAGAGTCATCATTGCTTCCTTATGTGCCGCCGCTCGACCATTAACCATTAGCGTTTTTAAAGGAGTCAAAAAGGAGGGGAAAACCTTCGAAAATAGTCGAAAAAAACAACCATCTACTGGTATTTCTGTTTTCCGTTTTTGATTTTTTTTTCGGCCTTTTTGAAATTAGCAATAATATAATTACTTGGCGCGAAATTGTTTTAGGTTTTTTCACACATCATCAACTCAACGGCAGCATCGCATCGCATCATTCGGCATTCGCGAAAGATACAAAAAGATACGCCAAAAGATGATCTTCTCTTCTTCTGCAGAGATGCGATGCGATGCGATGCGACGAGCGGTAGCCAGAAGAAAGAGGTTGTCGGATGGCTGTCGGTTGGCTGATAATTACACGACAATACCCCCCATTAACACATATTTTTCAGAGCTGATCATCAGAGAGGAGACATACCCCCCGCTGCCCCGTTCGTTACAGATAAAGTTCATTCAATTTAATGATGCGCCAAAAAATTTAAAAATTCAAAACAAAAAGACTCCGAAAATGAACGAAACAATTAAGACAAGACGAAGCCCAAAATACTCTTAAAGTTTCGAGGATAAACTTAATGAAAATATGAAATAATTTTATTTCTTTTAGTTACATAAAAAACACACAAAAAAGTTTTTGTAGAATACTTTATTTTATATCGAAAACAAAGGCTTGAAATGTAGACAATTGTTGGGCCTCAGAATGAGAACCTTGGGCAGTCTTTGAACATTTCGAATAAATTTTCGAAATTTTCATCTGCGAAAACGTAGAAATCCCAAACGCATCTATTGTTTGTTTTTATTCATATTATATTAATTCAAATATAGTTAAGAGTTTTTAAAATTTAAAATTTTTTGCACAAAGTAATATTTATATGTATAATATGAATATAAAATCAGGTACTATACGGGGCCTTTGAGGGTATACAAAATAAAACCTAAAAATAAACACGAAAAACCTGTGACGAACTTCCCACGTTGAATAAATGAAGATTTCAAAAGTTTTTTTTGAAATAACTGCCATAAGACACCATCAAAGACCCCCACCGCCCCTTGTGTGTCTCGGGGGGCGATCCGTGTTAACAACAGCAACTATACGATAATTATAACAACCATAACAACACTCCAACTCCAAGTTTAACTCTTTCCATCCATCTCTTTGCAGATCTTGGAGTTGAGCAATGAGGACCCACAGCAGCAGCAGCAGCAACAGCAGCAGCAGACGATGCCCCAACAACACCCACTTTTGCGTCTGCACAATGAGGCCAACAGCGGCAGCAGCAGCACGGCTGGTGGCAGCAGCAACGGCAACAATCCACGCGTATCCAACGGCAACTCGAATGCCGCCTGGCTCCAAAAACTAAGCGCCATGGGTGCCCTGGACGAGCTGGGCGGAGATGCCCCCCGTATGGGACCCAACTATGGACGCTATTAGAGGGGAATCTCAACAAGCACCTGACGACCTGACGACCACACGACACCACGACGACAATGGAATGGGTCTACCGGGGGGAGAATGTGGGGGGAAATGTTTTTGTGAATGAAACAGTTTTTGAATGGCAGAAGAATGGCAGAAAGGGGAGTCCGTGGGGCAGAGCACACTGTACATAGAAGTGGATGACGGCAGAGCACATCGTGTACAGAGAAGGAGATGGGGCAGGGAAGTACTACAGAAGAGGGCAGAGCTTAAGAGGAAATGGTCAAGGGATTACAGACCCCATGGCAACCCAAAAAAGGAAATGTGTGAAAATCTGTGAAAATGCATGAAAATGGGCAACTAAATGGAGTTAGGGAAACCCTTCAGAACCACTTGCTAATACTTGCAAGTATATTTAAGCCCTTATGAACCATTTGAATGGCTTTTGAGACATTTTCAACCATTTTATGCTAGTTTGCACCTTTTTTAAGGACCACTTTCCGGGTACTTTAAATCTTTCTGAAGTATTTTCACCATTTTCAACCTTTTTCAAACGTTTTTCACAATTCTAAAAAGCTTTGAGGATCTGTGAAGTATACTTTTAACATTTAAACATTCTGAAAGGTGATTTAAATATTTTATTTGTTTTAATTTTATTTCTGTTCCGTTTTGAAATACTGTTTGAAGAATTTTCCATACTTAAGCTATTTTTTAATGGTTTGAAAAACACTTTTGACAAATTGTTTAAGTAAAAGTAATTTTGTTTTAGCAATTTATTTTCATTTTTGAAATTAGGTATTTAAAAAAATTCTAAACACTTAAGAATCTCCTTCTAATGCCAAAAATGTTCTTTAAAAACCAAAACACTATTTTGTTTCAGATTAAACATGACTTCAGAGTATCCTTTTTCTCATAGGTCATATTAGTTATTATTCTCTTTACAACTTTTGAAAAAAAGACCACTTGAATGTTCTTCAGACAATCCTTTCTCAATGGCAGCAAAACATTCAACTATTCCCATAGCACTGCTCTCTGAAAACTTTGCCATTCGATTCCCATTCGTTTACAACACCTTTTCCCCTCACCCACCCTCCCCAGAAACCCAAAAGGTACACCCCCCAAAACGAATCAACACTCAAAGGTTTTTAAATGCGAAAGGCAACAGCTGATAAACACTGGTTTAAAACACAAAAACACACACGAAAAAACAAAAACAAAAAACGGAAAACAAAAAAAAATGAAAGGACAAATGCAGTTCCTATGCTAGAACAATAATTTTAAACTTTTTTGGGTAATCCCAAGGCGACAAAAAATGTACCTATGTACCTACCTACTATATATATATGTAGAACAATCCCTTAATCCCTCACAACAAATAAATACGAGTATTGTATTCCCCATTTATGGTCTAGGTTAAGAGCGGATTTTCAAGTTTGTTTTTTTCGCACACGCAGCCCCTAAAAAAAGAGACAAAAATTACTACAAAAAAAGAAGAAGAAGCAAAGTCAATTGTAAATATTTTACTGGAGTTTTAATGGGCCCCCAAGGCTAAGGCTGGAGTCGTGGGGCATATGAAGATATATATTTATAAATTATAGTACTCCCCAACTAACCTCCACTAAAACCGGAGCTCTGGGCCGGCCGTGTGACCTCCACACGAAGATGGGCCCCAAAACGAAAACTTTAATGGGATTTCATATAAAAGAGATATATATATATATATGTATACAATATATTATACAAGAGCGCAGGCCCCGTTTATACGCGATACTTATATACTGTATTATTACCTACTATTATTAATTATTATTATTGTTATATCTATATAAATGTACATTAAATTGTTGTTAACTCACGTGGCTTCGTGGCTATTACTTAAACAACAATAAAGAAATCATTTTCAATGCAGTCTTAACTAGATCTCTGCCCAAAGATACATACACATGTGTGTATCCATGGGATACGACCAAAGAGCCTTATGCAAGCACATCTCTTTCTTTTTCTGGTTGAAGATCTTTCGGGGAAAAGATTCCCATCTATCTCAATTCACTTTCACGTACTTCAAGTGCAACTCTTGACAAATTAAAGACTGAAAAGTGGCACCCACCAGAGGGAGAGGGAGAGAAAGATTCCCCCATCCCCATCCCCCAATTCCCATTCCAATAACCAATCCCTTCCCCTGTCAATGCGGAACCCATTAAGTACCTACTCGGCCACCAAGTGCCCATTCCGTTTGTGACTTTTGTATCTTTCATCTTTTGTAAAACGAAATCATAATTGTTTTGCCTCTTTATGTAAATATAATATCATTTAAATGGTGCTCTCTGTCGGTTTTGGCTCTGTGTTACATAAAGTCCACACACAGAAGAAAAGATACAATACAATACAATATATAATAATTAGTATTTTGCGCTCTGCCAAAGGTGTAGATGGCTGGCCCAGAGCAGAGCTGGAATCGGAGCTCAAGTTGTGGACTGGAGTGGAGTGGAGTGTGTCGTGGACCATGGAGAAAGCAGAAAGATGCCTTGTCGTTCGCTGATTATATGCCTCAGAATCGTTGTGGCATGGCAATGGCAGCAGCAGATTCATTAAAAATAGTGGCATAATTTGCTCATGCATATGGAGTAGGTTTGCCCCTGCCACTGCCCCTCCCTTTTCGGGGATGTGACAGTCATTTTGGGAAGTGCAAAAATTTATTGAAGAATGCAGCTACTGAAACAAACACAAATTGTTTTTAAATTTCCAAAAAATATTACAAATGTGGCAGGAAATATTGGAAATATTTTACGAAATATTCCGCCAACTCTATCTATGACAGATACCAGATCTTAGAAGTACAAACAGATTTCAAAGAGATATTTGAAGTATAACTATTATTATTATTCATCTATCTATTTATTAAATTTATTATAACTAAGTTTTTTAGATGGAGAATACAGCGAACTGTAATGAAGAACATTCCTCCAAATTATTTCTCTTTTTTTGAAATGTCTTTCAATGCATTCGTAGACGAATTAACGTATGCCATATTTTTCCTCCAGGAAGTTGAACTTTCAATCCATTTCTCTTTTGCAACCCAGAGCATGCTTCGATTTCCTCCAAAGAATGTCAAGGGTTGCCACATGAATTCATTTCGATATCCATTAGATATTTGCATATGCCTCAAGCCTGAAGATTTCCCCAGAGGATCCACTGCAACTGCAACTGCAACTAAAACTGAACCTGCACCTGTTCCACCTTGATGCATCCAGCATAATTTACTCAGCCACAGCCACACCACAAGCACAACAACAGCCACAGCCACAGCCATAGCCACACGATGATTATGATGATGATGAGGAGGTTGATTTTGAATGTGAAAGATGAGCGTTGAAAATTAAGGAAATGCAATCTGTTGCAGGAGGCACGAGACACCCACCGAAGATGAACAACAAAATCAACAAAAAAAGTTGCCATTTAGCCGACGGCATTATAAATGATGCCATCGAGGAAAAGTGACAGTCTCTTGGGACTGCCCGACTGTTGCACTATCATTGAGGTGGTATTGGTGTTGGTGGCTGTGGCTCCTCCGTTTGGCGCCGCTGGCCACACACTGATTATGCCATTTCATCAAATTCCGGCAGCAGATTGCTGCAGATTCGGTCCAGGAGTGGCGCCTTCCCCCCGCAGAGGATCGGAATCAGAGACGAATGCAAAATACAGACTCTGATTGCCATTTATAGATTATGTGCATAAATCTTTTCCCAATCCACTGCACAGGCCAGGCAGAGGGGGCCATGAACCTATGGAAAACATTACAAAATATTTTGCTAATCATAATTTGCTGTTTGTTTCCTCAGAAATTGTCATGCCCCAACGCCAAAAAGGGGTGTAAATTATTGCTACAAGAAAAAACATGAGAAAAAAATAAATTAAAGAGATTCCAAATTCAAAATATTGCAAAGAAAAAACATTAAATGAAATGTTTGTGGAGTTGCACGGCGCATTCGGGGAGTTCGGGAGCTCGGGAGATGGAAGGTTGCAGATGGGGGCAAATGCCCCAACAAACCCAACAACAAGAGCGTGAAGCTCATTATGATGGTTCGTGGCCAAAACGCGGACACCAATTACAACAGCAAACACAAGAGAATCGCTAGAGTTTGCAAGACTTGACCAATTTGATACCCTGGATAGTCAGGGGAAACCATTTGGGTTACGTTTATTATATTTAAAACTAAAATTCCTAAAGGTCCCATGACCTTCTGGTATGAAAACTCTACCTTTTTGAGTTTTTGCTATCTCTTTCTAGCGTTTGTCTCTCTGAGCGCCGTGAGAGAGTGGATGGTCCTTCCCACAGCGGACGACGTCATCTTATTAGCTTGGACACAGACAAATGTGGCGTGGTGATGCATTTTCAGGAATGCAATACACCCTCTTAGCTCTACAAATTCCAGGGTACACCGGCAAAACAGTACGCGTACTAACAGTAACAGTAACAGTAACAATAACAATAATAACAAACAGCACCCCATAACACAGAAAGAAGTTGAGTGAAAAAAACAAAAGACCGAAAGAGCATGAAGAAATGAAATAAAACCACACCAGACTCGAGTACCAATCCCCAGACCCCAATCTCCAGACCCCCATCTCTATCGCAGTCCCAGTCCAGAGCACAGGAACCCCGTCTACTGGCCACCCCCCTCCACTCGTTTAACTTCAGATGAGAGTGAATCCACATCCACATCCCACCATCCATTGAAATTGAAAGTGAATCGTGCTACACGATCCGACACGATACGATACGATACGACACGATCGGATTCAAGCAAAGCGTTCGTACAGCGAGCGCGTTGGTTGCGAAGCACCAGAAAACATTACGGATTGGTTTGGATTGAATCCTCTAAATGACCAAAAATAACTATGGATGTATGCAATCTCTATAACGAGAAAAACAAAAGAGTTGCGGAGGCAGGAGAGAGAAGTGGGAAACAGGAAAGGCTGCTGTTTTTTTGGGATTAATTCAATGGCGAAATACTCTTTGGGGAATACTACAATCGCTAGGAAATTAGCAATTCTTATGAAAAATATTATAAAATAAAGTACACAAACTATCTGTCTAGAAAATATTTATTTCTTAGCTTTATGTTGGTTTTTTCAACGGAAAACATTTCCACATAGGAAGCATAGCACTAACTTTTCCTGAAGCAAATGTATTACGAGATTGGATTTACGAGGCTATGGTTGGAAAGACTTGTTCATTTTATTCGAAATTTTTGCATTTCTCCAGTGAGAAAGACTTACTTAAACAAATTGGATATAGGTATGGTACATGTTAAGATCCATTGATGGCCTATTCGATTGGTTTCCAAACTTATTCTATTCTTTATGTTATATATTTTATACTATTATATAGGTTTTTTTCTAGATCAAAAAAGAACTTTTGTTTCTAGACCTATGATATCTGAAACTAAGATTAAACTCGTTTTTTTCGATAGTAGATGCGTCTGGTTACTACCCATTTGAAGTGTACTGATCGGATGAAACCCTATGCCATCTTTAATGATCTTGACCCCCTCCATAAAGAATCTAGGGTTCGCCTTGAACTGCATATGGAATCCACAGAGCGCCCTCTGTGCCAAAACAAACAACAAGGAGGCAGAGACGGAGGGAGAGAAAAAGGTAATTGAAAGAAGAAAAAAACCAAAAGCCGAAGAAACGGTCAGCAGGCGTCGCAGCTGCTGCTGCTGCCTCTGCTGCCGTCGCAGTCGCAGCTAGGAGTAACAGCGGCAGAGGCAGAGCAAACAGAGATGACTCTCTAACTGTGGCGCTGCCTGGAATTTCTTCATGGTTAAGCGCTGCCAAGCTCTTTGCCAACTGCTCAGCCAGCAGAGGAAGAGACAGCAGCCCGCAGACAGCTGTAACAGAGGCAGCACAGACGGCACCAGCAGAGGCAGCGACAGCGACAGCGACATTAACAACAGCAGCAGCAAAAGCTGCGTCGTGGTCTTGGTCGTTGCTGCCTTCTTCGTCGACGTCAACGTCGCCTTTATTTTTACTTAATTTTTATTTCACGCGCTGCGCCACTATAAAAGAAACTGCAACAATCGTTGTGGCATGCAGTAAGAGGTTCCGCGTCAAACGAACTCCAACTCCGACTATAAGCTCCAACATCCCCACAAGATCAGTGACAAAATCCGCAAACGCAAAACGCAACGAAACGAAACGCACCGAGAAACGGATATAATCGAAAACTTCCAGTAAAATGCAGTCCAGTTGTGTGGTACGTTTGATCCATCAACCAGCATCAGCATCAGAATCGGCTACGATCCTCAGTGGATCTGTGTGTCTGTGAATCTTCTTTCGACGGAATCTGACTTGGATCTGTGTGTAATCCATTGCTGTAATCAGAGCCGACAGGCAGATAACGAGACACTTTCGACTGGAATCTCAGTCTGCTCCACGATCGACTCGGATCTGATTGTGTGTGTGTCTCTGATCTTAAGCCTTCTCCGAGCTGGATCTGAGTCTCTTCCGACTTAGATCCCTGTAATCCCTAAATTTTGAGCTGTCTGCTCCTTCATTTAGCTTTTTGCTCATCCAAAATCCATTCAGTGTTCTAATTTGGTTTTTGTTCTGCAGTTAGTGATCGTCCTGGGCTTAGCCGCCTTGGTGGTGGCTCGTCCGGAGCCCCCACGTGACTCGTACAGTGCCCCGCCATCGAGCAGCTACCAGCCGAGTGGACCCAGCGGCGGATATGGAGCCCCTGCGCCTCAATACGGACCTCCCCAGCAGCCGCCGGTGGTGCATAAGCATGTGTACGTCCATGTCCCCCCACCAGAGCATGAGTACCAGGCACCCAGGTAAGAGATAAACAGAAAATCCGCCAATACTTTGAAGAGTCCTATTCGGGACTCTGTCTCCAAAAGCAGTAGAGATTGGGGTTATTAAATCCCTCAGAATTAGAGATGACCTATAAAAATTCCTACAAAAGTTCCATGATCTGTGAATATTTTTCTTAGATCAAAATTTACACATTTTTGGCAGACTTCTAGCTTTTTGTCTCCAAGAGATCTTGAATATTCTTCTAGAAGTTCATTGTAATAAAAAAAAAAGATAATAGAAAAAAGACCCTCTAAATCGAAAGACTTTTCCAAAGACAAGATTTAATATTGAATTAAGCTCTAGATTATCCAATCTTTAAACTTCAAAAATATATATAATATTCATGATGAATGGCAGCGAAGACCTGTTTAATATTCTATATAAGCAAACAAAGGCAAACAAAAGATAGAATATATTCATATTTAGGATCTTAAGACTTCTCTCTAAAATTTAGCTATATTTATATCACCAAATTTGCGAAGATTAGGATCAAAGATTTCAATAACTTTCTTCGGCTTCCAAAACCGGAAAGATCTTCATGGTACAGTTATGTTCAAAGAAAAACTTTATTACAAAAAGATTAAAGGAATAGGCAGAAAAATCTCCACTCCCAGCAAAACCATCAACCAGATACAGTTCCCTTTTAGTAGATTTAGGTATCATTGTTCAAAAAAAGATATGTGTTAATATTGCAATTACAAAAATTTCGAACAAATCATAGCCACATCACTGCCACTCCCACCCTTTCCCTTTTTTGCGCTTCCCTATGCAAACCCTTCATTAAAGTACATCTTGCGTGATGTGTGGGGGAGTGGGTCTCCAAACGATCTCGCGTTTACTTGCGGTGTTCCACTTATCCCACTGCCTGGAGGAGATTCACATTGTTATGGGCATATAATCCACGCCACTTATGCAGATTCTCTCACAATTCATCGCCCACTCCGATTATAATTGTGTTACAACAAGACAAATGTTGCAAGTATCTGGGAGGCATCTAATCATCCTAAGCCAGCGGAGAAAAGGGCTTTGTGCAACACACTTTTAGGGGTTTTTTTCAACCCATTCGAGGGCCCATTTTTAAGAAGGAAAGCCACAAAGTAAATCTTTCTCCAGTGCACTCTCTGGTTTTATGTAGACTTCTCTTTAGTTCCTAGCAGTCCTCACCAATTTTCTCTATTCCTCTCTGGTTTTCTCCAATGCCATTTTTGTGTCGTTTTTGGAGTCGAAAGCAATGTTAATTACCCCAAAAGCGGGTAATGATATCACGGCGCAGATCGCCAAACCGTGACTAAGATTGTTACCTAAGCTCCGTCTCTCCGTCTCTCTCTCGTGATATCTGTGGATTTTCCAAGTTAATTATCAGCCAAGTCCCTCAATTACCATAGTACCCATAGGGAGAGTACCACAGCACCAGAAGACACGGCCTTATGTAAGCCCTAATTGTGACAGTCGTTGTCATTATTATCATCTGATTACAGAAAAAACAGCAGCTGCACCATTTTTGGGGGTCACCATTTATGGGCAAAGACATTTGCATACTCGTCACTCATGCTCCTTTCTCCCTTTCTCTTTGTCTTTCTCCTTCTCTGTTTGCAGGAAACCTCTGTACGTGCCACCACCACAGAAGCACTACAAGATTGTGTTCATCAAGGCGCCATCCGCGCCCGCACCCACGGCACCCATCATTCCACAGTACCCGCAGAACGAGGAGAAGACTCTGGTCTATGTGCTGGTGAAGAAACCGGAGGAACAGCCCGAGATCATCATCCCGACGCCGGCGCCAACACAGCCCAGCAAGCCGGAGGTGTACTTCATCCGCTACAAGACCCAGAAGGAGGAGACCGGACCCTATCCCAACAGTGTTGCGCCCCCAGCACCGGAGTACGGTGCCCCGGCTGGACCACCAGCCCCGTCCGCTCCCAGCAGCTCCTACGGAGCACCATCGCACTAAGTGGAACCTCCCCGCACACAACCGAATCTCAACCCCAGCTCATGGCAATCCCATACACCATATCTATAATATTTTTGCTCTGGAAACGTCGAGGAACTCTCGACTTTAACGCGTGACAAAGTTTACTTACAAACAACGAAGGGACACCCCATACCATACCGTCCATCCTTTATTCTCATCCCATTTATTGTTGTTTCTTGTGTAATTTTTTACCTCTGAAGTTTGTTTCTACAAACCTATGTATGAGAACATTTCCCATCTAGGCTGTTTGTTTCAAATTGTTTGTTTAGTCTTAAGTGTTCTAGGTCTTTAAGCAAAAAGAAAGATGCGTTATACACACTCGATTCACACACACTGCGATCACTGCGAACTAGTTATCGATAGACGATACCGATACCGATGCTCGACTCATCGCAAATGCATTTTCCACTAGGCAAATCTACCAACAAACGAGAGAAGTTTCCACACATTGCTGCTGCTGTTGTTGTTTTGCACACAATTTTAATGAGTAATGAGAATGCGAGAGACAGAAATCGAATACAAAAAAATTACAACAAAAAAAGAAAGAAACGATAAATGATAATGATACTCAAGTATGATATATGTATATGATAGAAAACGATAACATCAATGGCTAAATAAACGTTTAACGAATTATCAGTATAAAAAACTTATCTCTGTTTTTTCGACATATACTTAGAGTTTATCTCAAGAGCTGGCATTTCAAACATACAAAAAAATAAATACGGAAACATCGTTCCTATAATAATTTTTCATAGTGGAAAACCTCTTTATAGTATCTTGCTATGATGCCCATACATATCAAATATATTTCGTCTTTTACATACTCCGTCTTGGAATCTTAGTGTCTCTATCCAGAAGAATATAGATCTATACATCCTTACAGATCTGTAAGAAGATTTTCGAGAAGATATTCTCACGAAAGACATGTTTTTCCAAGGATCATGAGGACTCTGGCTCTATACTCTATACAATATAGGGTCTATAACAGAAATAACTCTCTCAAACAGCAGCCATTTACGTGGCTTAATAAAATTAACAGGTTCATCTCCTCGCATTGCAAAAATAATGACAGACAGGTTAAAATCTTAAAATTCTTATTTTTCTTTTCATACAACATCTCGATTGTGTTTGGATTGTTTCTTATACTTAAATTTAAATTTTTCACCACATTTTAGTGTCCATATAAAATTCAATTTCAAATTGCAACGTTTCTGGCGTTGCCACCTCAAACGTATTTCCAAACCAGACCGACAGATGGAGCTTTTGGCCAAACTCCAAAACTGTAGCAGAAGCAGTGGCAGTGCTTCCCAAACTGCTTATCTCCTTTCACTTGGACTTAAGCTGCAGCAGGCTTTTGGCTTTGGCTTTTGGGCTTACATCAAATTTGATTTGTCTTATGCGGAAAAGCGCTTTTCGTTTAGCTCCCTTCCTGAATTTTTATGATAATTAGTTTAGCAGCATTTAAGTGGGTGTTAAAAAGTGAATAAAGTAGGTATCACTAAAACTGTTTATTTTCTTCCACCCACGATGCTAGTTTTGAAATGTAGCAGCGCTGGCCAGAGGCAAGGCAGCCAGTAACCAATATAGATCAGGAAATGTATTTATTTTTTGTTTCAGTAACTACCAGCCCGTATTTTTAGATTTTTCTTGATCATTATATCGGCTTATATAGGATTTCTATATAATTTCCATTCCTTCCTCTTTTCAACCGTCGGTAGGCTTTTCCTCAAAAAGGTTCGGCTAAAAAGGCATCGAAATTACATCTAAAGTACAAAAGTCCTTTTTGGGTAGGCATTATCTCTCATCGTTTTTGGGTTCTGTCCATTATAATTGAGCCGTTCGAAAGGACAGCTCCAACGGAACGGAAAATAAAGGTAAGCCCTGGACCCACTCCATCCATACAGCCATATGCATGCATCCACATCCTTTTAAAAACAATCAAACAAACACTAACATCCAGAGAACACACAAACACACACACTCGAAAAGCTCCTTCACAGGCCTCCTGCCAAAATGTAAGCGGACTTAAAAACACATCGTTTGCATTTGTCCCCACCTCGCACCTCGCCCCTCCCTCGTACCCCTATACCACTCGTATGTAACACACTCATCCATGCCCAGCACCGGCACTCCATTCACCACCCTCCCCTTCCCTGGCGTGGCCATGCTGCCATGCAACATCACCAAGCGGCACTTAAGTGACGCTCCAGCAGCCATCATTCCAACAGCAACAACTATCATTGTGAGAGAGTGCACGTGTGAGAGTGTGTGCTTTCTTATTCTTTTTCCATTTTTTTTATTTATTTTTTTTTGTTTTCTGTGACGCTTCTTGTGAATGTCTACAATATAAACATCATTTGCGATGTTCCTTTTGTTTAAGCCCCGATGATTTTGTTTACCTGAGCCTTAATGCTTCAAGCATTAAAAGAAGAAAGAGAAAAGCAAGCAGCAGGGCACGAAAGAGAAAGAGCAAAGAGAAGGCTGGATTTTTAGTCGGCGAGAGAGAAGCGAGCGAGAGAGCTTGATTGCCTTGGGAAGGTAGTGAGAGGAGAGAGTAAAGAGAGGCAGGCAATGAGCCGAAGAGCTTCCGAAATCAAAGAACAAACCCGAGAAATCAAAGAACAAACTCGAAAGAGCATGAAGTGCAAGCCAGAAACAAGGTTTATTTATAGAAGGTATGGCATTCGTAGATATTCGAGGAGCACGTTGTTTGTCTACTCAATGATTTTGAACCATCAAATGGTAACAACTAGGTTTTAAATACCCGTTGCTCTAGGACTAACTATATTCGAAAGGCAGGGCAGGTGTTCTAAGAGTCAAACAGCAACAGCGCCTTAAATTTTAATTTTTGTTGTGTGTTTCTGCACTCTAGGATGCACATAGGTATGTATGTATGTATTATCGTTTCGTTTTTCAGGCATAGATTGAGGATGAAACAGATTTTCACGATTTCCGTGGCCAGATAGTATGGCATTCAGTATGATGCCACAGGATAAGCTTAAACACCCCTTATGAGGATGTTATAGTCGTACTGGCATGTGTTCAAGTGCCATGCCGTACCTTACCAAAGGCCACCCTTGGGTGGGAGGCATTGCCAGCAAAAACAACACTCTACTAAACGCTGACTCTCCTCCCTTCTCGCACGCCTGCGCAGTGAATGAGGGAGAGCGCGCCCCAAAACTCGTGCCGTCTGGCTCTTCCACCAAAGCCAACGACGTCTAACGGCAGTTGAAATTGTAATGCCAACGGAAACGGCACGCGACTGGCGTCGTTCGCGTCGCGTGAATGAGTGGATGAACCAAACAACCAACAACAAATCGAAGCAAAAGTCGGAGCAGAAGAAGTTTGGATGTGTTCGATGCGTGTGTAGTACAGTGTAAATCATGTTTAAGCGAAACCGAATAAGCGAATCGCAAAAGCCAAAGATGAAATCAACAGCAACAAGAAATTGCCAGTCATAAAAAAAGGGTTTGTGTTTGTTATACCGTTAGCGTGTGCCCGTTGTTTCTGTGTGTGCGAGTGTGTGTGTGTGTTGTGCCAAAGAGAGACCTGCCCCCTACCACCCCGCTGACTGACAGCCAGCCCCCCGCGCCATTGTGCGTCGTCGGTCGCGTCGTACAATTAGAAGGCATTGCCAATCGATTTGTGTGAAAAGCCCAAAGCTAAAACTCAAAAGGTGGACAGCTCCAAAACAAAACGAAGTTAAGCCAAAAAAAGCGAAGAAAGAGGCAGGGGAAAAAGGTAGAAGGAGGAAGGAGCAGCAGAAAGAGAGCAAACAAAAAAAAAAAACGTCCTCGTAGAGGTTGTGGCAGGTGTAGTCTGAAAAATGAAGTTGAACCCAAGCCCAGACCCAAGTTGTTGCCTGTCATTCATGAAGGAAGCAAGGCAATACTACTCGTAGAAGAGCCAGCGGAATGGGCATGGGAAAGTGGAAGGAGGAAACAAGGAATGAGGGGAATAGGCCTGAGAAAGGGGGGGAGGGCTAGGGACAATATTAATGAAAGACGTTGCAAAAATGTCACGTTCCCCACTCAAATTGAAATAATAATGAAGGCATTGAAGAAATGTCACGGCGCCCCAGTAGAAGAACCTGACAGAAAGAGCAGGAGCAGGATGGCAGAGAGAGGTCCAAAGGAATTTGCATGCCTCGAACATAAAGTATGGAAAACATACATAAGTCGGATTACACGATAATGATTGCAAAAAGTATTCCTTGAAGATGGAGAAAATCACATAAAAATGTTGTAGGAAAAAGTTTCAAAGATCTTATTACACATAGTTTGAAACATTTCCCCAGAAAATGTACATGAATATTTTACAAATTCATTTGCAAGCCATTATAAGTAATGGTAGAAAAATATAACAAGTTCCATTAGAGATAATGATGTACTTTAAAAATTGAGAAAAATACATAAAATATTTAGGAGCAAAGTTGGTGGTATAATGATGTTAAGGATATAGCAGCTAAGTAAATAAACGATAGGTAGCTAAAAATGTCCCGGAATTTAAATGTAAATCGATCTTCAAAATTTTTTACAATGATAATCAGGAAGAATACTTAAGGAATACTTTGAAGATCTTAAGGCGTAGAAGAAATCTAAAGGAATACAATTATGATTTATAAGAAATATTCCTAAGGATAATAGGAAAATACTGGCACTTAAGTTTGACAATATTATTTTTATGATAATTAATTTTTAAAAATTACAACATCCAATAAAACCGTCGGATTGATGGAACTAGAATTTTAAATGACGATTTTGAATGATCATATTTGTAGATCTAGAATGAATCTCTAGCAGGAATTATGAAAGGATTCTTGTGCTAAAATCATGCCTTCAAAAAACAGCTTCCTTCTGCCTTTTACAGAATATAATTTCTTGTAGAATGAAATTTCTCTCTTAAGCACCGGCTATAAAAATACCATTTGAAAAGATGTCCCCCCAATCCCCAAGCAAAAACAGTCCCCAAATAAATTAATTTACAAGAAAGTTTTTACAAATAAAGCTGAAACGCAACATTATAATGACATAAAATATGACAAAAGATAACAACAGTCTACAGGCCAAAGGACCCCTGTGGTCCTGCCAAGAGTGGATCCTTGAAGATGTCCAGGCAGGCGTATAATTTGCCTAATAAAAGCACATAAAACCCTAAACAAATTCAACATAAATCTGGAGTTTATGCACAAGATGCTACAAGTGAATAAAACACGAGCTTAGAGCACAACTAAGTGACAGTGAGACAGTGACAGTGTGACAGCAAGACAGTGATAGTGGAAAGTGATGATAGTACAGTGAAGCAGCATATGCCCAATAAACAGATGGCCCATAACCATAAAGAGAAAGTGTTATGGCCATTACCATAGACGGGTGGTAGAGAGATACCCTTATTTTGGGGGCCCTGGCCTGGTTCAAATAACTTATGCCCATTGGCCCGAGCCGAAATCGCAATTTATGACGGGGGCCACAAAACTCTGGCAAGATGCTGGCAACTATTTAAAGAGCCATAAAATCTTTTGGCAAAGATATAAAGCAAACATTGTGTGTGGATGTGTGTGGGGAATACGTAGAGATATTGAGGATTGCATTCCGAGATCCCTG